TTGTGAAGACTGCAAAATGCCAAGACTGAGCCGCGCCAATCGTCACATCGCCAGAGGTCTCCTGGAAGCAGGACAATCTCAACTTACAGTTGCCCGTCGAAGGAATGTTCATCAAAGCACGATTTCTCGTCTCTGGGAGAGATATCGGCAGCAGAACTCGGTGGAAGATGGACCTAGAAGTGGACGTCCTCGAGTCACCACTGCGGCGCAAGATAGGTACATCCGGGTACATCACCTGCGTCAGCGAACAGCTACAGTGACCACTACCGCTAGGCAAATACCCGGATTGAGAAGGATATCTGCACAGACTGTCAGGAACAGACTACGAGAGGCAGGTTTAAAACAAGAAGACCCTACTTTAGCCCCGTTATGCGTCAGCAGCATCGACGTCATCGCGTTCAATGGTGTACAAACGTTCAGGCCAGGAATTTGGTGAATTGGAGTTGAATCTGGTTCAGCGATGAATCGAGATTTCTGTTGGAACGACGCGATGGAAGAATGCGGGTGTACAGACGACGTCATGAACGTTTTGCCGACGCCTGTGTCCCCAGGTGGACAGATTCGGCAGGGGCAGCGTGATGATGTGGGGAGCTATATCCTACACTGGAAGAAGTGAGTTGGTGTTGATACAAGGCAACCTGACAGCGCAACGCTACTGCGATCAAGTCCTTCGTCCACACCTCCTTCCCATTACCAACCGCCAGAGGGAGCTTTTCCAGCAGGATAACGCCAGACCTCATACGACACGTGTCACGAGGGCCTTCCTTCAGAATGAGAACATCATTGTGCTGCCCTGGCCTTCCAGATCACCAGACTTAAACCCGATAGAACATCTTTGGGATGCCCTGGACAGACGGGTGCGACAGTGTAACCCACATCCCCAGTTACTGCAGCAACTAGTACATGCACTACAGGCAGAGTGGGCTACATTGCAGCAACATCAGATTCAGCGACTAATTCGTTCTATGCCGAGACGATGTCGCGCAGTTCTGAACGCCAATGGTGGTCATACGAGGTACTGACTTCAGCGCCATCAAACGTCGATGTGTGATTCATAAACTGACTTTTTCCGATGTCTTATTAAACAGTGATACCTTGGCATTTCCTGTGTAAAATTTCTTCGAATTCCATTTACTATTAACTTGTCCACAGTGTATCAAAATAAAAAGAAATCTGTAGTTAAAATTCTTATATGCGTTTCTTTTTTGAGAGAGTATATTTTCATTTACACTCTAACCCATAAATTTAAACCATCAAAGAAGAAATTGTATGCAGTTAACTACGTTTATAACGAACACGCTTATGTCGAACTGACCGATATAACGAACTTTTTTTAGACCATTTGTTGTATAAATGCTGTATATATGCTTATTACGAACTACGGTTATTTCGAACTAAAATTAGTGGTCCCTTCGAGTTCGTTATAACCGAAGTTTGCTGTACCATTACTTGCTTTGTCGACCTAAGCAACGTTTTTGACACTGCTTGGAGAAATGATTTTCTTTACAAGATGTACCAACAAAACATTACTGGCAAAATATTCAAGATGATAGCAACATGTACACATCTTTCGCATATCTGTGGCAAAGTGAAAAGGAGTTACCTCCCTTCCCTCGTACAACAATGTAACTATACAATAGTTCATCATTAGACCGGTAGATGTCAGGGCGCCGAGAGTCTGAGTAATGGCTATATCGGTTCGCTAATTTAAATAATCATTGCAAACACATAGAACTTCTTTACGTTCCTAAACGAAAATCTTCTTTGTTTTTTAAACAATGAAGCAAAATTATAAATAGTCGATCCTTTGTTAAATTATATTTTTGGTGCAATATACTGTCAGCATATCTTTGGGATATTTTTTTTCCCAAACACAATTTCCAGTCGGCAAATGCGTAAAGCAAATGAAAAAAAGTTTGGCCTAACCGCCTGAAATGTTACAATTGTCTACAGTTAGCTGCTAAACCACTGTTGAGTAGGCAGAATATGACTGGATTCACAAATTTTAATAATTGAATTAAGAACAATTTCATTTATGAGTTTCAGTCAGCATACAGGCTTTCCCATTGTACAGAGACAGCGTTATACCGTGTCACCAGTGATATCCGCTGGGCTGTTGGGGGTGGAAATCTGGCCCTGTTCGTAATGCACGATCTCCCTGCTGCGTTCGGTAAATCTACCACACCCTCAGAGGCTGAAATATGAGTGTTTGATTTTTTTTTTTGGCCGCACTCAGCAATATTCAAGCTATATGACGGCGGTCTGTAAATAATCGAGTCTGGACCAGACAATCCAGTGATTGACATCATGATCATCGATCCACGCAATTGGAATCGATGACGTGCATCAACCAAGTCAGCTAGCCTGACCACCCGATCCCGTTAGTCGCCTTTTACGACAAGCATAGTCGCCTTTTACGGCAAGCATGGGTTGCTGAAAACCTATTCTTCCCCGGAATCTTCACGGGTCCTAGATGGGGTCGTTCCACAGCTTTACATCATATCTAACTGAGAGATTCCAGTCTGTTGTTGTTCGTAGATCCCCCTCTTAAGAAGGGCACCTGTTGTGGTGTTGAACAAGGCTCTGCACTTGGGCCCGTCCTGTTCATCATCTGCACTACATAACTTGGTCATCTACAATTTCAAGATTAGTGCAGAAATACCGAACAACAAATGAACTTAAAGACAGGCCTCCCCTGGTCAGCCTCGCCACACATCCAGTAGAGAAGATGCAGCATAATGGTTCGTTAGACCACGTCCATTTGACAACAGAATAGTTTTAAAGGCCCAGTGGCTACCAGTCTACCAGTACTCGTCTGAAAACAGTAGGATACAGAGCATGGGCGGATACAGAGGGGGGGGGGGGGGGGGGGGGGGGGGGTGATGCGCACCCCCCCTTTTTATTTCGAAAAAATCTTTATTTCAGTATAAATTACCACCAAAGACATTAAATAGATCTTAATTTTGCACCCACCCCCCCCCCCCCCCCCCCCCACCCCCCTCCCACCCCTTTTCAAAAAAGCTGTATCCGCCCATGCAGAGCCAGAAGACGAAACAAACATCCCTTGTTAATTCAGGCCCACAAAGCAGCTCGTTTGGCATGGTCTAATTAACGTCTAAACTGGAGAATTGCATCATGGCGGAGAGTCCATTTTTTTAAGAAAGTCGGTTTCTGTAACACATGATAAACGGCCGTACACGTGTTGGAGGCAGGAAAATACAGCCATTGCTGAACACAACATTCTAGAGACCCATCCATTGGGTGGGGGTCGGTGATGATATGGGGACGTGTTTCATTCAGTTGCAAACTTGACTTGATCACTGTGCCGGGTTATCTGAACGGACCTCGATGTCATGAGGACTTCCTGGAGACGCTGATCACTAGACTTCATGGGAGATAACGCTAGATCTCACATATCACGTGCTGTTCCGGAATGCTTACTCCAGAATGCCATCGAGACACTTCCTCACCAGCATGAAGAGCGCACGGAGAACGGAAGGTAGTGGTTCGATACCCGGCCGCGTCATACCAAAAGACGTTATCAGATGGTACTTGTTGTTACCCTGTCTAAATCCCGGATGAGCAGCAACATCCTGAAGTTAAACGACCACAAGATTGAAGCAATTGTCACTGGCCCATCTATTAGACGCTCCATTTACTAATTTATCAGTTGGAGATGCAGTCATTACCCTTTCACTAGTCCACTTGACCTCGCCCTCTCCACGGAACATCATGTGGGTAATTTGTGTGAGAAGTGTTCCTTTCACCTGAGGAATATCGGCACTATTCGCTCACTGCTCAGGAAGGGAACAGCATTATGATCCATATTTGCAAGCATCGTCTTAGCACTCATTTAAACATTTGGTTATTTTTCACAAGAAATAAAATGGTATAATAAAATTTGATATAGAAAGATATATATATTATGGATTGATGGTATATGATTATTAACTGATACTGTAAGTGGCTGTGTCATCAATTAGGATTCAAGTAGTGTAAAATTATTGCTCCCCTGAGAGGGTAGCGTAAAACCGTGTCATGTAAAAGAATGTGTTTTCTACCACCTTTTTAATCGTACTATTTGTCTATTGTCAAGAGCTTTGGCACCCATCTTGCAGAAACTTTTGTTATTCCCAACTCGTTGGTGATATTGTGCTCAACCCTCTCATGAGATATGCCCACAACACTGGCAATATGTCGAGTGGTCAATCGTCGATCAGCCATCACCATGTCATGCACCCGGGTAATGTTTTCCGGAATGGTTGCTGTTGAAGGCCTTCCTGGACGCGGGTCATCGTCAAGGCTCTATCTGCGACGCTTGAATTCCGCAGCCCACTTCTTTACAGTGGAAAAGGAAGGGGCATCATCCCCTAAAGTGGAGACCATGTCAGCATGTATCTGTGTTGGAGTTAGCCCTTTCAGCTGCCCTATAGCCAGTTTTGTCCATTTCTGGTAATTTCAATGGGTAGGTTCACAAGATGGTCTGGTACAAAAACAGTAATAACACTACAGTTGCAGTTCTTATGTCTATAATTCATGAAATGATTGTACTTGTTGGTGGCAAAGGTTTGTTTCAATCCGATTGAGATATCCCACTTAGGCTTAGAACTTTTCAGCCAGCCCTCGTAAGCTGATACGTCGTGATATATCTGGAATAATGTTCAAAGCGGCGTGTAACACAACTCACTCACTAACTCCAGCAGCTGGAGAGATGGTCTAAATCCTGCTTGGCATCACATATTTGGCAGAGATACCGTTAGTCCTGATATTAATGAGATTCACCATGTACAAACTTGTAATGTCACCTCGACCTTGATACGAATTTAATCCCACCAACATTCTATTGCAATCATTGTTATTTCCAACTGGCGAGATAGCCACTGCGGGGTCAGCGTTTATAAAGGCCAGGTACGTCATTTATATTGGGATTTCTAAAGCGACTCTGACAATAGTTCTCAAATTCAATAAACTCCTTATCGCTCCTTGGTGTACTGTGTAGGGGGCATTCAGCTATAGGTACGCCTTGCCTCCTGTATGATAATACTCCAAACTACAATAGAGCTGAAATCTATAAGAAACTCACCGACGGGACAGTGGTAAACATCGCCTTTTGACAGCGAATACTAGAGCCATAACGTCCTCCTGCACTTAATACAACACAGGACCATCACGTCTTTACGTAGTCAACACATCATAGGATCATCGCGTTTCAAAATGGTAAGTAGTTTTGACCAGACGCGTGAACATAATCCGAAAGCAAAAAAATATGCTTTTTAACAAATGGTAGGGTCATTCTACCCTGACTTTATAACTTGAGGATTCTTGGGTAGAGGAGGTCCCCTACAACCTATGCTGGTTGTACGACGCGACTTTAATGATCGGGGTGGTCAGGGTGGGTGACTGGTTGATTGCCTGACAACGTCTTCCGACAGCGTGGATTGTTGCGCCTATATCAATCACTGGATTGTCTGGTCGAGAGTCATATAGCTGGAATATTGCTGCGTCCGGCGTTAAACAAGACACACATTACATTCAATAGTACACAAGCTTCGTCTTGCTCTCAAGATGGCTTCCGATTGGACGTGAACGTCGAATAACGTTTATACGACATGCGTCATTTTTTGGCCCAGGTATGATTGTTATATTGTTGATACAGTGTTGACCCCAACTCACTCACTCACTCTCTTTATATCTCTTTGCTTGTTGAATAAGAATTTTAAAGAGACCGACTCATCTGTTACATAATGAGATTTATTCATACAGATTCAGAGTGACAAACAAATATCCGCAAGAAAAGAAGCCAAGAAAGATGACTGGTCCGGTGGATCAGGACATGCTTTCTCTCTTCGCGAACACCTGGTGTCATCACTGATTCACAGTGATCCATTCATATAATTTCCACCGCTCTTTGCATATTATTCTGGGGGGGGGGGGGGGGGGGGGGGGGGGGGGTGGCCCAGTCATCTAAGGCGCCGCGATTCGCTGTGCAGAGTTGCGTCCAGGGCGTGTCAGAAACCTATGATTGTGGGTTCGAATCCCGGTTCGCCCCAATTATGTTTCTAGGTTTGTCAGCACCATACCCGTGCTCGTTGGTTTCACCGATGTGGTAAACGTCTGAGAACTGCATCACTTCGGGCTTTCCTCCCACATTAATCTGACACGCCGTGATATGACTGGAATACTGTTAAATGCGGCGTTAAACCCAACTCCTTCACTCACTTTAAATATGGAGCAATATTCCCGCAGCTCCAGCTCTTGGTGTCTACATTTCACAACTTTTGAGGTACAATCGAGCATGATCTTACCACAAAGATTTTAAAAGGCGGCAGAGGTGTTTGATCAGGTTCACAGTGAGTGAGTGAGTTAAAATGTAACCTACCATCGGCATTATTTCAGCCATATAGCGACGATCAAGTCCAAACCATATTTTGACGTGCAATATACACTCTTCAAAAAAAGAAACGCACAAGTAGCGTTTTAGTTAATCTATTGAATTTCCCAGGTTTGTTCAGGTGCACTCTTGACTTGCCTTTGCGTGTGTTTGGGTGCCACCCGAGGGGCAGGACATGCTCACTATTTGCAATGATTCAGAGACACATGCACACAATTTTGTCGGAATCCCTCATTGTGTTTTTAGCAGATGTTTCTAATGGTTGTGGAAAGGATTGATCGCTTTTTATAATCATTGTGTATTTCAGATATGGCCATAAGACTTGACCATGTCCAGCTTTAAGTGTGTCGTCCTCGGGGATGCGGAGGTGGGGAAGACAACGATGTTGACAGCCTACTCCCTCGGGCAGGAGAGCAACACGGAGGTGATACTGTTTTCCTTGAGACCGAGTTATATTCTATTGGGTCCAGCCTTTGTTGCCGTAAAACTTTCGTAAGGAGTGAGTGAGTGAGTATGGTTTTACGCCGCTTTTAGCAATATTCCAGCAATATCACGGCGGGGGACACCAGAAATGGGCTTCACACAATGTACCCATGTCGGTAATCGAACCCGGGTCTTCGGCGTGACGAGCGAACGCTTTAACCACTAGGCTACCCGACCACCCCCTTTCGTAAGGAAATCTGTAGCAAATGATGTAATGTTCAATTAATCAATCTTTAATTCAACGAGATAATGTTGAAGTTGTCGTCGTATTGGCCGATTAAATGTATTGTTTACGCTCCAACCCCTGTTATTTTTCTTGTCTTTATGCTGAAGTGACACGACTGCTGCAGTTGTTGGATAAGCTCATTAATTCTGTACGACATTTACCTCTGGAGTATAAACGTAGTTGTCTCCTGTGCTGAAATGCCCTATTCGCAGTGATTCATAGTTCAGCAGGGTGATGTCTTAACTGCATTCCCAAACAAGCCCCAAAGGCCGTATTATATTTTCTCAGAACAAAATATGTCTGGAGAAACATGCCAGTTCAGCCCTTTCAGTCTGTCAATTTCAGTTAACCACAATCACAGAGCCAAATTTGTATTTTGAGAGAATTTAAGTGCATGATCAACCTGTTTTAACTTCCAAAAACAGAATATTCGTCTTAGATCCAACAAGCGACGGTTTTCCGGGGTTCAGGTCTGAATGTTTTAGTCGGAGGCTGCTCCCCGGATGGTTTGATGAGCCGAAATAAAAAGTCATCCAGAATTAAAACACAGTGCCATCTGCATACAACAGTCCTTAATATTTATTTGTAATTGTTGATATTTAAACATCATTTTTTGTATTTAGTATTCACATAAATAATATGAATAGTTGGTTGTTTGTTTTTAATCGACCCTGAACCAGACCACCAGTGGCTAGAGCTACGTGATAAGGTTTGAAGGATTGCGACACCCTAATTCACGGTATTAATGTGTCGGGTGGCGCTAATGTCTTTTCGACCCGTGAAGATCCGGGTTAGAATAGGTCTTCGGCAAACCATGCTTGCCGTAAAAGGCGACTATGCTTGTCGTTGATGCATGTCATCGTATCCAGATTGCGTGGATCGATGTTCATGATGTCAATCACTGGATTATCGATGCTCATGATGTCAACCACTGGATTGTCTGGTCAAGATTCGATTATTTACAGACTGCCGTCATATAGCTGTAATATTGTAACATTGCTGAGTGCGACGTCAAACAACAAACCACCAAACTTCACGTGTAACTATTTCATGACATTTTATAGTAATGAAATGGCACATATAGCCTTTTCAATGTGGCAGCTGTGGTTGAAATATTGAAAAACGGATCTCGCGAATAATCTCGTGAACAAAACGGGCTGTCGGTACTGGTCGGTACTGGTCGGTACTGGTCGGAATAGGTACTTGGAAGTTTCAGCTTGATTGGATCATGTTCTTCAGAAGATGTTAACATCGGACGACGGACAAGTCAGGCCATAGCATAAGCCGACGTGACTTTAAGTTACGAATCGGGACAGTATACAACGCTTAGAGTTCAAAATGGCGTGGGCTTTGACCAGAAATATAATACTGATGGCGAAACACTCGATTTATCACTCTTCAACACAAACGAGTTCTATCCGATTCCGCGGCCGGGGAATATTTTGCACAAATGTCACCTCATGTATGTATCTTGCAAAAAATCACTTTTTTTGTGTGCAGAACTCCTGCAGAATTTTGCATTTTCCTATCGCAAAATTCGTCAAATACACTGCAGAGTCATTACATGCGAGTCGAAAGCCGGATCTAAAAAAATGTGTAAACGTTACATATCGTTACAGTCATTTGACTTGGACTTTGTATTAATCATTCCAAATAAATATTTGAGTTTATGTTATGTGGAAATAAGAAAAACAAATATTTACAAACGATATTTTAAACATTTTGCGTTTAAAAAAAGAGATACTATTTAACAACCTGTGTAGGTCAGCCTTTCATGTCATAAGTGAGTGACTTAAATGTAACGTCGCATCGGCGTTATTTCAGCTATGTCTAGTTTCTTGCAATCTTGCAATAAGTAATTAGCAAAAAATGTTGAAACAGACACAGGCCTATTTTCATTTATACACACATGTCGTCAGGAGGTCATTAGTTTATAAGTAAATTCCAGAAAGCACTGTACTTGTAATGTTGAAGAAAAATACCGCAGTGCAATTTAATTTAAGATTTTCGTGTTTGAACTTATTGAATAATTATATATTTATATGCATAAAACCTCTTTGTCGAAGGTATCGGACAAGAACTTCCAAGTAACGGTTACTGTAAAAGACAAGCCCTGTACGTTATCCCTTCTTGATACTACTGGGGACGTCGACTGTAAGGCACGCCAACGTTCCAACTACACTGACGCTGATGCTTTTCTCCTCTGCTTCTCTGTCATCTCTCCTGCGTCCTTCATGAATATCAGAGAAAAGGTGAGGGTACTGTACAGCCATGCGGGGACTCGGGGTTAGAGTGAGTGAGTGAGTTGGGTTTAACGCCCGCTTTTAACAGTATTCCAGTTATATCGCGGCGTGTCAGCTTAATGTGGGAGGAAAGCCCAAAGTGATGCAGGTCTCAGATGTTTACCACTTCGGTGAAACCCACGAGCACGGGTATGGTGCTGACAAACCTAGAAACATAATCGGGGCGAACCGGGATTCGAACCCACAATCATAGGTTTCTGGCGTGCCCAAAGGACGCAACTCTGCACAGCGAATCGCGGCGCCTTAGACGACTGGGCCACCCGTGCCCCCACTCCGGGTTAGAACTGGTCCCCAGCAACAAAGGCTGGTCCAAAGGGGCGACCTAATGGGTCAAGGGTCAGGCTCGGTGACCCGGTTGATGGCGTGTCATAATACCCCGACGGCGTGGACTGATGCTTATAATTTTAATCACTGGGTTGTCAAGTCCAGACTCGATTATTTACAGACCGCCGTCATATAGCTTGAATGTTGTTGAGTGCAACGTTAAACAACACAGTCATAACACACATATACCTATGCTGGTCGTCACAGGTAACAAATAAAAAAAAGATATAAGCTCAACTTTCATATTTAGATACCCGTGAAGATCAGAATAGGTTTTCAGCAACCCATGCTTGCCGCAAAAGGCGACTGTGCTTGTCGTAAGAGGCGACTAAAGGGTTCGGGAGGTTAGGCTCGCTGACTTGGTTGATGCATGCCATCGTATCCCATTTGCGTGGATCGATGCTAATGATGTCAATCACTGGATTGTCTGGTCCAGACTCGATTATTTACAGACCGCCGCCATAGAGCTGGAATATTGCTGAGTGCGGCGTTATATAACAAACAAACAAACAGACAGAATGGCAGTGAACTCGGCTTGTTGGTGTGTTAAAGTGATTGTTGGAATTGTATTTTCAGTGGGTTCCCGATGTACTGTTTCATGCACGAAACACGCCAATCTTCATAGTAGGGACGAACGTTGACCTCCGAGACAACACGGACACGCTGAACAAACTTACAGAACAGGGTGAGCGACCAGTCACCGAGAAAGAAGGGAGACAACTTGCACAGCGCCTGAGAGCTAGCAAATATTTAGAGTGCTCCGCCCTTACACTGGTAGGTACAAGCTCCTTCCCAACGCGTGACACCTTCGTTACACTCTCAGTAACATCGCTGCCACCAGTGTGGGCGCGGCCATTACAAGAATCTTGAAATTTGCCCCCTTACCCCAAATGTAGTAGCGTTCATGTTTTTGTTTATGTCTTTGGGAATGCCATCATAGTTCATTTCATTTTGAAAAGGTTTACGACTGACCGTGTTTTCAGATGAATTTACTTTGTTGTTTGTATGATCAGATTGGTTCGAGATTGCAGAGTAACGGAAAATCAACCAACTTCTCCCTTACATTCTTACTATATCAATTACATGATAGTTTTAATGAAATAGAAATTCAAATTGACAAAGAAAGTAATTTAGCAGGGGTAAGTGTATTCGGCGTCACGACAGTCGTCACTTGTTTGTAAACCTAACGGTCATTCGGTTGCGAGTTCAACTCCAAGCATGGTTGTGGTCATCTATCACTGTGGGGAGTTTTGACTGGTGGCAGCGATAGTATAGAGAGCTCCGCGAACGGGATATCGCTGTGAGGAGATTCGGTGGGTATAGATGTGTTTACCAGATCACTAATAAAGAAGCATATTTTCCTTATAAATTAAAGCACATTAACTCGATCACTATTCGAGCATCCCCATTATTTCGAGTTATCGACGTTTTTTGGTAACTATAACCTTTTTGTAATTTCTTTTAGGATAAAGGAAAGACGAAAATACCTTCAATTACACATGTGCTTGTAAAACAGAGATAATCAAACCGTATGTCAATATGGCCCTGCACAAAAATTATTTTTGTATTTGCAGAAAGGCCTGGACAAGGTGTTTGAAGAAGTCATTCTCACATTAAGACGTCCACCACCTGGCAACCGGACTTGTGTCATGGTGTAAAGATACTAATTCATTAAATGTATTGGAACTATATTTTGAACACTGTTCCCCAGCTGCTGTGCTTGAATCAGATAAACTTTTATTGAAATCTTTTTATGACACTGAGTGAAAGTCGATGATGGCATTCAAAACGTAGCGCCATCACATTGCTGTGTAATGATCTTGGTATGTGATTATGTGCGGAGTCATGCCCTAGACTCTGCTGTTTCAAGATTTCTTGTGATTGCGGAAAACGTTTTGCCCCTTGTATAGTCATTTGACAGGAAGCGCATGTGACTTTCTTAGTTCTGTAACTAACTGGAGACTGGGTGTGTTCGTTTTAATGTCTTCTTGCATTTGTCTCTCACCGGAAATGATGTAATCATACCGGAAGAGGATACGACCTGCTTATTCATTCGTCACCACTCGCCCCTTTCCGTTACCTGCAAGAAGACTCGTCCCCCTATCGATGAATGTTATGTGCGAAAATACGACAAACCAATCAGAATGCGCGTATGATTTCAAGTTCTTCGTCAAAGAATCCCTCAGAAATAATTTTTGATTTTACATTTGTCTTGCATCTAAAAATATACCAAAGACACAGTTAAATGTGTTTAATCATACTGCATAATTCCGCACGTCCCGATGTGCTTTAAGTTGCATCGGAAATATATATCATATATGGGGAAATGTGTGAACCATTACGCAACGAGTTGACAATTGTTTTAGGTATGCCCGTTTGCGATAAGACGGAACTCGGTCGCTAAAATGGCCACGAGATGGGCTATTCGGCTTATCCCGGAATAACACGAGTTGGTCACGAATGCTGCTTATTAAGGTAGCTGGAAGCACGTGACTCTGTTTTGAAATCGCACTGCTTTTTTTACATATATTTTCTACCAATGTGGAATTGCAAGTTATTTCCGTATTTAATGTGACGTTCAGGTGTTAGGTCAGGGTTTTATCCAGACAACAATTAAAGGTTTCAGTGGAAAATCATGATTTCATTCACCTTTTGAACGTGTGGACTCGGATTCGGATTCCGTGTCTTGCCCCGATGGCCTGGGACGTTGATCGTGCCTCCAGTCACTGGTTTGTCTGGTCCAGAATGTTTACAGGCCGTCATATAGCTCGAATATTGCAGAGTGCGTTGTTGAAGAACAGCCTCGCAACGCACAGTCCGTGATTTGTGATCATGATGCTTGGACTGTGTTTAATCTAGTCTAAAGTCAGGACAGTTATGTATAAATTATTTTAGTGTTGTTTTCGAACTCAACAAATAAATGAATGTACACAAGTATGAAAGAAAATAAGTGTATTGTATACAATGTCATGTCCTTTTTTCTCCTTTATATTTCATAGGGTAAACACGTCAAATGCGTGGAGGTATTTTGAAATTTTGAAATTTTGTTTTATGTTACGGTGCTGCGTTTAACACCTAAAGTGAGTGAGTATGGTTTAACGCCGCTTTTAGCAATATTCCCGCAATATCACGGCGGGGGACACCAGAAATGGGCTTCACACATTGTACCCATGTCGGGAATCGAACCCGGGTCTTCGGCGTGAAGAGCGAACGCTTTAACCACAAGGCTACCCGACCGCCCTTTAGCACCTAAATGCAGACGTCAGTACGTGTATACTTGTATCCAAAATACCAAATTACATTTAACGATTGTGTAGTTAATTAACATAAAAACTGATGACGCACCAACGATCTGCGGACCCTGTCACACCCAAGGGACGCAACTCTGCTTATCGAAATGCGCCGCATTATACTACTGTGCCACCCGTGCCCCGATTCACGTAGCAGTGAAGGTATATTTTTCAATTGTAGTAGTTGATAGTCCTGTATAGATTTATATGATAGCTTAGGGTCGCGTTGAAGGGCCAGGTAAACACAATGATTTCGTTCCCCGAGATAACACTCATACGCGACGTGGTGACAGGTACTGAATCTCCTAGAAATCCTTGGTGAATGTGAACAGGTTTTGTAAGTGGTACATGCTTGACGATAAACTAAACACGTTGCGGGAACACTCGTATCAATGCAGACATGTTTGAATGGAAACTTGTTGAATGTCCCATTGATCTTCAGTAAACAGTAATAACCTCACATATGTGATGTCATAAAATATACAGTTTGTATGGGTGGCACAGCGACTAGTTAAGGTGAAATGGGGTTTACGTCGCGTCCAACATTATTGCACTTTAATAGCGACGTGCATGCAAGTGTGTGTGTGGCTGCTTGTACTAGTCCGGACTAGTGAGTGAGTGAGTTAGTTTGGTTTAACGCCGCTTTTAACAGTATTCCAGTTATATCATGGCGTGTCAGATTAATGTGAGAGGAAAGCCCGAAGTGATGCAGGTCTCAGACGTTTACCACTTCGGTGAAAACCACGAGCACGGGTATGGTGCTGACAAACCCAGAAACATAATCGGGGCGGACCGGGATTCGAACTCACAATCATAGGTTTCTGGCGTGCCCAAGGGACGCAACTCTGCACAGCGAATCGCGGCGCCTTAGACGACTGGGCCACCTGTGACCCCCTAGTCCGGACTAACGCCGATTTTATAGTGCTAGCCCACTGAGATACCATGCCCCAGTTTAACATGAATACGGATCCCGTTAGTCGCCTCTTTCGACAAGCATGGGTTGCTGAAGACCTATTCTAACCCGGATCTTCACGGGTCTCGCAATTCCGAGTTTCAACATGCTCCTTGCACTTTAACATAATCATTCAAACAAGGGGGATAAAATACATGAAATTAATTCAGAGGTCAGTGTAAACAGATTACTCCCAATCCGACACATATGACACCTCGGCGGCTATTTTTGTTCGTCAATTTCACCCTTCATCAAATTATGTAAAGTTCGTGTTTCGAGTCTACCCAGTCGACGACGTTAACGTGTCTGGGTCAGATTGTCGCCCTTAATGGCCCTTTGTCAGCACAATGCCCGTGCTCGTTTTTTTAATCAAAGAAGTAATTGTCTTCGACCAATCAATTTACTCCGTCTTTTGTTTGTTTGTTTCAACGCTGTTAACGCCGCTCTCGGCAATATTCCAGCTTATCGCTGCGGCCTGTAAACAAACGGCTGATCCAACCACCATATACAACGCGGGGGATTCCGGGTTAGAATATAGGTCCCTAACAACCTATGCTTGTAGAGGCGACTAAAAGGATCGCTCGGTCGGGCTGCGTAATAAATAATTAACAAGGTGTCGCGCCGTCTATGTACGTTAATATGAAATCAATTAATATCCGACCAGCTGATCAATTCAGTCGCCTCTTACGATGAACAAAGTAAAGTACAACGTATCTTTAATATTTCATATTTATGAAAATAATATTTGCATCACAAAACTGTTCCAAAAGGCATGATGTCTAATATTCTAATTCAATAAACATCCCCCGAACTTCAACCAGATGATGTTATCCACTCGGTGATAATTTACGATGAGAGGCTTCTGCGTGATTTTGTTACACGCCAGATAGTTGTATATCGTTATCTCTGCGTTCAGTTGCGTGTGTTATCGTAATCAACAATAGACTTTACAATGTCAAGTTTGTCGATACTTGCCTGGGCGATAAGTGCGCCCATAGCAATAAATACAAACGTGCGGTTTCTAAACATGGACGGTATGAAAGTCAAACCCGGATATACATACATAATACTTAACGAGCTCCTGTGTAATACCAAAACGAGTGAATAGTATCTGGTATCTGACGAGTGAAATTGGTATTACACGGGAGCGAGTTTAGTATTTTATATATTATTTGCCATTATGTAACTATTTTAGAATTTCACTGTCGTGTGTGAATAGGCAGACACCCACACGATCCACAGCATAACACAGTTGAGGTTAACAGAATAATACTTCAAAAGTTGACACGTATTAATTTAATACCATACAAGGTCCCACCCTCAGAATTCAGGCGTCCGTTCCACAAACTGATCGTAGTGCTAAAGTTATGGTAACTCACATACTTCAACAGAAACTTACGACTGTCGTTTCCCTGCACCACAAAGTTTACAATTACGTCACAATACCCTATGACGTAATTTGTGGAATTTGGTTGCAAGATCCACCGGCGAAACAATGCTATGTGACGTCAGCCTAGTAACAGGGATGCTTGGGGTCATCGAGTGTGCATAAGCTCCTCTCAGTGATTAACCATCTCACACAATGTCGTTGAATAAGCCAAGGGATGCTGAGAGTTTTTTTAATATTTTTTCGTGAAACTTGTTCCCGCAGTACATAAGCACGCGCTTTGTTACTGCACAATGTGTATGTTTATTAAACGGGTGATCTCTTCACGGGCAAGAAATAAAGACGGATATAAGAAACAGTCGAACACTCGGATAGTAGAGAAATAATGCCTAATCGAATACAACTGTATATACCGGTCAATCGCCTATAAGTAACAGTCGGATGTAACGAACAGTCTCAAGTAAGTAACAGTCGGATGTAACGAACAGTCGTATATAAAGAAACAAACTTTATTCCATTTGATAGCTCACATGACTTCTCGACCTTTTCAGATTTCCGTGTATAACGCTCGCATATGACGAATACTCGGATATGACGAACCATATTCTGATAATAAACAAGTAGTATCTTAAGTGACTACTCAGGTTATATCGAACTTTTAGGGGTTTCTGTACTATCGTTATTTACACTCGAGAATCGTGAACTTGAATTAAAACACATCTATTATGTCATATTTAATGCTCAATTATTTAAGGGATGGAGAGTTGTTTGTCAATAATACATTACATTGCTCCAACATTTCAATTAATTTACACTTGAAACAGACGGAACTTTCCTGACAAGAAAATGATTTCAAATTTTGTCGAAAACATGTGTCACCAGCGGGGTTCGAACCTGCATCATTCCATATGAAAACGTCTGATTGTCGGCCTCAGCTACGGCGATACAGGACAGTGTCGTGTGAAATAACCTATTAAATATTTTCAATTACAGAAAAGTACGGTTCTAACGAACTCAAAGGGACTACTAATTTTAGTTCGTTATAACCGTAGTTCGTTATAAGCATATATACAGAATAACTACAGCAAATTGTCGGGACCAAAAAGTAAGTTCGTTATATCCGTCAGTTCGTTATAACCGTAGTTTACTGTAGTTGCATAATCCTAAAAGCAAAAAAAGATCTGCATGTAATGTTGTGTTACAGCGGGTTATTAGATGTGAGGGCATTATCAAGTTACAGTGGCCCGCTCATTTCTGATAACATGCGGGTGGTTTAATGATAATTCTATCCATTTTAGCTATAATATAGCTATAATAATTAACAGGAGCTTTAGAAACACGTGAACGAAAATGATTTGGTATGGTTTGGTGATCAATTCCGATAGTTGAAGATATCTGAACTTTTAAGGTGAATGTAAAGAATCTCGCTGTTTCCAGGACTTCTTGTGACGATAAGACTGAAAAATGTCACACCTGTGACTTTGCTTAAATGACAGGAACTTGAACCTTTGACAGCTTGCCGACACTCAGGTGCTATTGACGCCGTGGGGGGTCCGGGTTACTGTAGGTCATCAGAAACGATGCTCGGCGTAAACGGCGACTGATGGATCGGCTGGTTAGGTTCGGTGATTGCGTTATCAAGGTACCCTGAGTGAGTGAGTGAGTGAGTTGGGTTTAACGCCGCTTTTAACAGTATTCCAGTTATATCATGGCGTGTCAGCTTAATGTGGGAGGAAAGCCCAAAGCGATGCAGGTCTCAGACGTGTACCACTTCGGTGAAACCCACGAACACGGGTATGGTGCTGACAAACCTAGAAACATAATCGGGGCGAACCGGGATTCGAACTCACAATCATAGGTTTCTGGCGTGCCCAAAGGACGCAACTCTGCACAGCAAATCGCGGCGCCTTAGACGACTGGGCCATCCGTGTCCCCCAAGGTACCCTGAGGGGGTCGCTGCTCCATCGAATATTTACAGATGGGGGTCCTATTGCTGGGATGCTGCTGAGTGCGGCGTTAAACTACATGCCTTTTTTCATAGGGATTCGGAAACACATGCTCATGATATAGTTGGAATAGTACTATGTACTGTAACTTTGGTGGAGGTTTCTTATGATTATTGAATTGGTTTTGTCTTTTATTAATTATTATGTCCTGATATGCGACAGAGATGATAAATATCATGTAGTCGTGTTAATATATGCTGGCACTGTGTAGGTGTGTTTGGTTTAAAACCGTTATGAACAGTTGTACCATTGAGTGTCAGTTAAAAGAAACCATCGAGATGTTTTGTTTGTTTGTAAGTTGTTTAACGCCGCACTCAGCAATATTCCAGCTATATGACGGAGATCTGTAAATAATGGAGTCTTGACCGGTCAATCCAGTGATTGACATCATGAGCATCGATCCACGCAATTGGGAACGATGACATGCATCAACCAAGTCAGCGAGCCTGACCACCCGATCCCGTTAGTCGCCTCTTACGACAAGCATAGTCGCCCTTTACGGCAAGCATGGGTTGCTGAAGACCTATTCTACCCCGGATCTTCACGGGTCGCTCAAAGTGAGTGAGTGATTGAGTGAGAACACCTGCTTTTGCTGAAAGGTGAACGTGTACATATGTTCACGGGTCGAAAAGACATTAGCGCCACCCGACACATTAATACAGTGAATGAAGGTGTCGCAATCCTTCAAACCTCATCATGTAGTTCTAGCCAGCACTGGTGGTTTGGTTCAGGGTTGATTAAAAACAAACAAACAAACAAACAAACAACTATACATATTATTTATGTGAATACTAAATACAAAAAATGGTGTTTAAATATCAACAATAACAAATAAATATTAAGCACTGTTGTATGCAGATGGCACTGAGTTTTAATTCTGGATGACTTTTTATTTCGGCTCATCAAACCATCCGGGGAGCAGCCTCCGACTAAAACATTCAGACCTGAACCCCGGAAAACCGGACCATACCGTTCCTTTTGAAATCGTCCGGATTGACAAATGTCGTCCGGATTAACTCGTAGTAAAGTACCGAGAACAAACAGACGAATGGCGGGGTTTCCGGACTAACAGTGTCCGGACTAGCCAGATATAACTGTACATAGTACATGTATTATAACCGAACAAAAGACCATCCTCGTTGATGCAGGGTATTATATCTCCATTCTATTTCGATACATAACCTGGAGCCCATTTGCTACTACACCTTTGATTTGAGCCGATCCGAATAACACAACATTCAAAGTATACTACTCAAAAGAAGTTAAGGATCACCTGATTCTTTCATATTACAATAGTTAATCTCTCATGTCATGACAGATTAGGGCGGTCGGGTAGCCTAGTGGTGAAAGCGTTCGCTCTTCACGCCGAAGAGCCGGGTTCGTTTCCCGACATGGGTACAATGTGTGAAGCCCATTTCTGGTGTCTCCCACCGTGATGTTGCTGGAATAGTGCTAAAAGCGGCGTAAAACCATACTCACTCACTCACTCATGACAGATTAACTTTACCATTATGAAAGAATCGGGTGATCCTTAACTTCTTTTGAGTAGTATATATATCATGTCAGTTTACTCTCACTATCGTGAGAAAGTCTGTGCTAAGTCAGAGCTAGGAGCGACGGGGTGGTGAAATGGGGCAATGGTGGTGAATCCGTCCAGAGCATGTATCAATACAGAATGGCGATATAACAGACTTATAGTCCAGGATGTGGCCGGTCGGATTGGGCAATATTCTCGTCCTCCAGCATGTTCGTTCTGCTGCACAGTGATCCAAATCTTCATACATTACTATTGCGGTGGCTGACATCTTAAACTGCGCATGACGTCATGATACCGTGCATTTCCACGAGTTCTTTCGAGATTTGGGAGGATGCAGGGCTGTGTATATTGCTTCATCAAATACACATTTCAAACCACGCTGCAAAGACAAGGGCATATACTTTGCACAGTCACAATCATGCACGATTAATTATAATTATATTAGTACATAATTGAGAAATTTATACAGTATAACTGAAATTTTGATAATGAAAATTTAAATTCAGTTTTTGACTTTTTACAATTGATCTCTGTAAGTGTGAGCCCATTTCGGGTGATATTACTGGAATATTGCTGTAAGTGATGTAAAACATTCTCGCTCACTCACTGGTCTGTTTAATTTAGAAAATGATACCATGATCTTGTGTCTTGTTTGTTTGTTTGTTTATTTTGTTTGTCTGTTCGTTGTTTAACGCTGCACTCAGCAATATTCGAGCTATCTGTAAATAATCGAGTCTGGCCGAGACAATACTGTGATTGTTGTCATGAGCATCGATCAACGTAATTGGGATACGCTGACATGCATCAACCAAGTCAGCGAGCCTGACCACCCGATCCCGTTATTCTCCTCTTACAACAAGCATAGTCGCCTGTTACAGCAAGCATGGGTCTAATGCGGATCTCCCCGGGGTTAGAAACTGTTTTGCCAGTTATCAGATATGTTTTTTTCAACATATGCATATTGTGGATGACGAAACTGAATTATTATAGAGGTTTTCAGGAAACAGTTTTGTCATGTACATGAGCAAGTTTTTGATCCACGCTGGTTTTCAAAGCAGGCGTAGATAAAACAGTACAAACATATTGTCAAAAATTATTTTGGGTCACGGAATTAATCATAGATTTTTTTCTTGGATTTGTCCTTTTTCGCTCATTTTAACAATACTAGAGCATGCCAGACCTTTAAAATAGGTGAAAGTTTAATAAGTGAGTGAGTGAGTATGGTTTTACGCCGCTTTTAGCAATATTCCAGCAATATCACGGCGGGGGACACCAGAAATGGGCTTCACACATTGTACCCATGTGGGGAATCGAACCCGGGTCTTCGGCGTGACGAGCGAACGCTATAACCACTAGGCTACCCCACCACCCCTTTAATAAAGAAATTAAGGCCATTTATCAATCATTTGAACATTTCTGATAATGTTCAAAACCATTATTACGAAGTTAACCATATTTTACATTACTGGTGGGCCAAAATGCCTTAATGGGCCTTTATCCTACCTCGTCTTCCTATATTGTCAACCACAATTTCAAGGACATTACCAACCTGTGTAAGGGCAGAGCACTCTAAGTAATTAGCTTTTATTTTCTTTCCGAGTTGTCTCCCTTGTCGCGTTGTGATTGGCTTCTCGCTAATACCTTCCGGTATGTCTCCATTGGCTAAGTCGTCCCGGAGGTCTGTCTTAGTCCCAACAATGAGGAATGGCGTGCTTGGTGAGTATTCCAAGATTTCAGGGACCCACTGAAATATTCATGGTAACCTGCTCGTAAACAAAGAGCTTGTACATCGTAGACCAACTCTCGGCTCGTGTACCTACCTATAAGACCTCGGTCAGCATTACCGGGAATCCATTTTGGAATTACTTTAGAATCACATGACATAGCATCACTCTAATATTGGATGTGACGAAACAATTACCAAGGTAACAAGGTTGAAAACAGTCGCCCGTTATGATATTGATGGGATGCATGTGTAGCAGGGCGTGGAGTCATCCCACAGGTGACATCCTTACCTTGTCAGCTTGCCGACCTCTGATCAGAAGGTCCGTGGTTCGAATCCCATCACGGGACTCGGAAATTTAATGGCCGCTACGTTGGCGCCCAACATGGTGCTGAGCACGTTCATATTAAATTTGAGCAAAATAAGTCTCAGCAACCAGACTATGCGGCCCTGGACGTGCCTTCTGTTGACGGGGGAGTACGTAGCAGGGTGTGCAGTCATCCCACAGATGACATCCTTACCTTGTCACCTTGCTGACGGGGTTAACCTCTTTGGTCATGTGGACAAGGCGTCCGACCTCTGATCAGAAGGTCCGTGGTTCGAATCCCATCACGAGAATCGGGAAATTTATAGCCGCTACACATGTAATATCGACTCTGATACCCTTATCAAATATTACGCCATCAAATTACAATTACTTGTTTGTTTCAGTTTTAGGCACCATCGAACAAACAGGGGTGTATACTTTCTTTTGCTGTAGAGTTGTATTCCAGGTATAGATCTGGTGTTTGCACATTGCAATTTAGGTGAGAACGATAGCTGACATAGAACAGGGCTACAAGCCGGTTACGCATTGGGTCAAGGTCGGCTACCGATACCGTAGCCTTGACATTTCTTTTCTATAGGTCATATATTGGCGCAACTCTAAGCAAGGGGCACATCCATGTACAATGTATTTGGAGGAAGATGATGCGTACATGATTTACATTCAGTACTCCAAAAAGACTATTTGCTGCAATAAACTGTCAAATGAAAAATGTTAGCTCAGATGTTACAAGACTTGGGTCATTAAAAAACAATCAGAAAACGAACACCATCAAAGACAACCCAATATTTCCCCATACTATTGTGATAAATAACTTGGCAACATCTTCGGTTTGAGCCCGATTAAAAAAGCACGATGCTAAAATTAGCCGTCCAATCAAATTCCTTTCACCAGCGAGAGAATTTCCGTGTTTAGACGGAAGTAGGAGCAATGGAAGTAGTGACGTCACTTCCGCGACGAAGCTATGATGGCGTATATGTCCAGGGTATTAATCAAAATGGAATGGCGAAACGATACATTGTTAATCGAGGATGAGCCCTAACTGACATAATCACCTTTTCTGTGACGCTGGAGAAGGATGAAGGGGAGACAACTGAGAAACAGACAAGGTAGATGTCCGCGTTTGGGTAACTGAGAGGTCGTACACTGTCGTATTCCTCTTTCCCAGCTGTGTCAAACAGCCCCATGCTGTACGCCTCGCCTTGGACTTGAACTGTCACCTTGTAGCTTGCTGAGACCTGTACACAGTAATGGTGAGGTGAGGTGAGGTGAGGTGAGGTGAGGTGAGGTGAGGTGAAATTGGGTTAACGTCGCGTCCAAGATTATTGCACTTATATAGCGACGTGCATGCACGTGTATGTGTGTGTGTGGCTGCTTGTTCTAGTCTGGACTGATGCCGATTTATAGTGCTATCTCACTGAGATACCATGCCGCAGTTTAACATGAATACCCCACTCAGACACAGTATACTGACTCCGAGCCGACCAGTCCTTGTTTGAGCCCCTTAATGCCGAGCGCCAGACAGGGTAACAACAAGTACAATCTTTTAACACCTTTTTGTATGACGTGGCCGGGGATCGAACCCCGGACCTTCCGCTCTCCGGGCGGACGCTCTACCACAAGAGCACGGAGGCGGTCGTACACAGTAATAGTGAGTGAGTATGGTTTTACGCAGCTTTTAAGCTATCTGCAAGGCAGGGGACACATGGTACAATCTTTGAGAATAGAACCCTGCCTTCTGCGTGATTGGCAAATACTTTCTCCTTCGGGCCGTGAAAAAATAATAAAACTGATCTCCCGTGTTCGCTCGTCCCCAGTGAGTGAGTAAGTTGGGTTTTACGCTGTTTTTAGCAATACAGTAAAGTACGTTTATAACGAACACGCTTATAACGAACTGACGGATATAACGAACAGATTTTTTTGTCCCGTCTGTTTGCTATAGTTATGCTGTATATATGCTTATAACGAACTACGGTTATAACAAACTAAAGTTAGTGGTCTCTTCGAGTTCGTTATAACCGTAGTTAACTGTATTCCATCGAAGTACATACAATTTATGGATAAAGGCTTCTTTATTTTACTGTATAGGAAACGAAGCCTTTACAGTAAAATGAAGAAGTTGTTATCCATAAATTGTGCCCACTTGGCTATCCGTCAACTTCTAAGAAATGCCTATCAAACAATATAAACATTTCATCAATATCACGACAGGGGACTCCAAATTCTGAAATGGGCTTCACACATTGTACCAGTGTTAGGAATTGAACCTGGGCCTTAGGCGTGACAAGCGAACACATTTTATCATAAGGGTACCCCACGGCCCAGAACAAAAAAAATATAACTGGTCTCCAAAACAACATGTTTGGTCCGTGTTCACTCGTCAACCAAGCCACCCCCTATTATGTGTATTCTAAAATGATTAAACTGAAAAGATTGAGTTCACGGCATTGTGTGGCTCTAACGGTGTAGATGGTTGCTCATGCTATCAAACACCGGTCTGTCCCGTCCAGACACGAACATATACACATTCACCTTTCAGCAAAAGTAGGTGTGCCCACTCACTCACTCACTCACTCACTCACTCACTCTGAGCGACCTGTGTAGATCCGGGGTAGAATAGGTCGTCAGCAACCCATGCTTGCCGTAAAAGGCGACTTTGGTTGTTGTTAGAGGCGACCAACGGGATCCCAATTACGTGGATCGATGCTCATGACGTCAATCACTGGATTGCCTGGCCAAGACTCGATTATTTACAGACCGCTGTCATATAGCTGGAATATTGCTGAGTGCGGCTTTAAACAACAAACAAACGAACTGACAGCGCGTTAAATAACATTCGTTCCACTCATTAAACAAATTCCTAAAATGGCCGACAACCTTGTCATCCAATACTCTTGCGTAACTACCAATGTAAACTGGCTGCTGACATATTTGCACATGGATGCGCTGGTTGTAACGATTAGAAGAGACAGAGCCCAGTTTAAGCGGGGCGGCACGTTTGACGAACGCCGTAACGAAGAAGCTTGCCAGTGGATCGGCCTTCAGGGGAAGGTGAGTGGGTGATGTGTTTACTCGCTACACACTGCACTGAGGCAGTAATCTGAGTCTGTATACCTACCGTGGGCTGGTAATCTCTCTCAAACGTATTGGAGCTGTAGGAGTGTAACAGGCACGTCTTGCCAACCTCTTCGTCCCCAACAACCACACATTTCAGGGCGTGGTCGGAGGGGGGCGCCGCCTCTGACATTGACGAAGACTGATTACCTGAAGGATAATTTTTAATTATTATATAACGTTTTTGTTGGGATGTCAGTTTTGAGTTATTAGTTTCATGGTTTAATTACATCTTAACCAATCCCCCGGTGGGTATTTCGGATAGGAATGACCCCCAAGCAGCCAAGGACTTCATGGACCGGGTGCTCAGGGTCTGTGATATTTTTTACATAATTCAAATCACTGGATTGTCTGGTCCAGACTCGATTATTTGCAAACAGCCGTCGTTTAGATGGAATATTGCTGAGTGCGGCGTTAAATAATAATTACATCATCTACATGGAGTTTTTGGTTTATCTGGTGACTTTTGATACACGAATATATATAAAATAATAACAATAATATTGACGTTTTCCACACCAAGAGTGACCATGGCGAAATCTGTATCAGTTCGGATTTTCTGACTGGTGAATTAAGATCTTTGATTTACATTGTCTCATTTAACATAATACGAATGCGTTATTCTAAATATTCCCAGTAGGTTTTTCTACACGTTCCCAGGAAGTTATTCTACACATTCCGAATACGTTATTCTACACATTCCCAGTGAATTATTCTTCACATTCCCAGTGAATTATTCTACACATTTCCAGTAAGTTATTGTACACACTCCCAGTAAATTATTGTACACATTCAAAGTAGATTATTCTACACATTCCAAGTAGGTTATTCTACACATTCCCAGTAAATTATTCTACACATTCCCAGTAGGTTATATTCTACTCATTCCCAGTGAATTATTCTACACATTCCCAGTAGGTTATTCCATACATTCCCAGTAAGTTATTCTACACATTCCCAGTAATATATTCTACACATTCCCAGTAAATTATTCTACACATTCCCGATAGGTTATTCTACACTTTCCAAGTAGGTTATTCTTCACATTCCAAGTACGTTATTCTACACATTCCAAGTAAATTATTCTACACATTCCAAGTAGGTTATTCCATACATTCCCAGTAAGTTTAATTCTACACGTTCCCAGTGAGTCATTCTACACATTCCAAGTAAGTTATTTTACACATTCTCAGTAAATTATTCTACACATTCCAAGTAAATTATTCTACACATTCCAAGTAAGTTATTCTACACATTCCCAGTGAATAATTCTACACGTTCCCAGTTAGTCATTCTACACATTCCCGATAGGTTTTTCTACACATTCCAAGTAAGTTATTCTACCATTCCAAGTAAAGTATTCTTCACATTCCGTATAGGGGCGGTCGGGTAGCCTAGTGGTTAAACCGTTCGCTCGTCACGCCGAAGACCGGGTTCGATTCCCAACATGGGTACAATGTGTGAAGCCCATTTCTGGTGTCCCCCGCCGTGATATTGCTGGAATATTGCTAAAAGCGGCGTAAAACCGTACTCACTCACTCACTCACATTCCGTATAGGTTATTCTACCCATGACGTTAGACTTGGTCCCAATCAACCTATGGCTGTCGTAAGACGCGACTAACGGTATCGGGCGACCAGGCTCCCTGACTTAATTGCTTGTCATCGTACCACAACGGCTCGGATCGTTGCTAACGTATAAATCATTGGATTGTCTGGACCAGACTCGATTATTTAAACTTAGCTGTCATTTAGCTGGTTTCGGCGTTAAACAACAAACACACTAGACATGAATATGACCCTTTACCACTTATAAGTTTAAAAAATCAACCCCTCAACGAACTTTCAGCCACTTGCTTTGATCACGTAATATTTATGAATTCGTGACGTCATAGAACTCAGCCAATGTTGTCAAAAATATTTCTGCAACTGTCGAATCAGCTCAGAGAATCTCCAGACTAAGCCGTGGAGTGTGGCTTGATTATTACAGACTCTCTCTCTCTCTCTCTCGAGTGAGTGAGTGAGTATGGTTTACGCCGCTTTTAGCAATATTCCAGCAAATATCACGGCGGGGGACACCAGAATTGGGCTTCACACATTGTACCCATGTCGGGAGTAGAACCCGGGTCTTCGGCTTGACGAGCGAACGCTTTAACCACTAGGCTACCCGACCGCCCCAGACGCTCTTGATATAGCTGGGATATTTCTGACTGTGGGGTTAAATAATTTCTACGTATTGTTACGGACACATAAATAAATATTTCATTTAACATTTTGATTGTCCTGTAGCAGTTAACAGTAGAAACTGCCTGGCTAAGAAAAGTACAAGTTGAAAATTGGATTAGATAAAAAAACAACATTATAAACGTCATCAAAAATTTACAAGCTTGATAACATGGGCCGTAACACTGCAACCTTAAAGTACAAAGCACCGCTATTATGCAATACACCACCGTCGGAAAGCCATTTCTTGTTTGTGTCACTTACAGCCATCAAACATGGGTGTATACTATCTTTTGTCCGGCAGTATATTTACTTTTCATATTTTCTAGACCTAGTCCAATCCGGAATCGCACTGCGTACAAACGTTGGAGTGATAGTCATGAGGTAGTGGTGCAAATAAATGCAAATACGATTGGCAAATATTCAGTTATACGGACATCGGTTACGAGGCGTCTGGATAATGGGGATCATGTTTAGTATGGTCCAGTTGAACATCCGGGTGTCTGAGGGTTTTAGTACCATTGTGGGTGGTGACCATTTGGATTATCTTAATCTTAAAGGGGTGGTGGGGTAGCCTAGTGGTTAAAGCGTTCGCGCGTCACGCCGAAGACCGGGTTCGATTCCCGACATGGGGACAATGTGTGAAGCCCATTTCTGGTGTCCCCCGCCGTGATATTGCCGGAATATTGCTAAAAGCGGCGTAAAACCATACTCACTCTCTCTTAATCTTTAAACCAAACTACCCCTACACTGAAAAAAACCAGGCCCCGTTTCGAAACACGCACAGACATAAAACTGTAACCTTGATAATCCGGCCGTCTCGGTATTTTCTGGATAAAAGAGTTTTAGGATTCACGAAGAGTACAGTGTACGCTTTTCCACTCGTCCGGAAAATGAACATGGGGTGTGGGGTTGCAGAGTGGCCATAATTAAATTCCGTTCAAATGGTCTCTTCAGCAATTGAACATTTTGTCATACAACATTCATTTCCATGACATATCACAACATCTGTATTTCAGCTGTGTCAGACTCCCTTGACTGCGAAACATTTCAGCGACACCCAGGCTTACGCAATTAGAATTGTAGCTATTTTCCTACAGGAAAAAATAGCAGCGACTGAATTAGGACATTTTCCAAGTGGCGTACACTCCTTTGCCGACAATACTGTAGCTTTAAAACGGTTTGGATGACGTAAATATTTGCTTTGATTTTGAAACCCAGGTGTCTCGTGGTAAAAGCTTTACGTCCACGGTCTGAGCGAGCTTCGCGGGGTAAGGGAAGATAAATAGTGTAACGCTATAGTGTTTGTGCCCATCCATACAGCACGGCGCCTCTTACATTGGACGTCCATGTAGGCCTTTCATTTCCTGTCATATAGACTTACAACCTTATCATATTCAGAGTTGTTGTGACCTCTGTTATTCCAATAGTATCATAGTTATACAATATGTCCCTGTTCTTTGTTATACTGTTATTGTGATAAGATAGCTAGTATACAATATTGAAAACGTACGTGTTATAAATAATATCGTTCTTATTGATTTAAATAAATTCATGGATAATGCAAGCTAAAAAACACGTTATAAACAATATTGAACATATTTTCGCTTTCTTAAAAACTTATTTGACAGAAAAACCAACAATGTTCTTGAATTCGTAACTAACAGTATTGATACCTGGTGTTAATACCTGAAAATGTATTTACACCTTTAATTTTATACCTGTCGTGTGTGTGTCTTTAAGGCGGTAATGCTCACATGATATGGTAGCAGGTGTGTCCGCGAAATATACACAGGTACTATCTATCTATATCAGAATTTATCACATATACTATTTGTCAACAACACGGTATTTGAGGTGTCTCATTCTTCTTACCTTGGTGTATGTACGGCGTCAGTGTATATCTCCATTGCTAATATATACGTCGCTTTGAGGCACTCCTGCAGTGACACCCCTCTCCAACTTGTCAACGTTCAGAAGGGCTATATTTAGACGGTGAACCATCCAGGGGACATAACTCGTGTCTCAACAGAAACATCAGCTGCCCGACACACGATCAACGCACTCTCAATTCTTTATTGATTATTGGTGGGTTTGAAGAGGAAGCAATACTATATATTACTCGACAGGAGAGGGAAGAAACTTGTAATATCCGTATATGTGTTTTGCGCGTTTATAATTATATGGTGACGCGAGACGACTTGAAATAACGCCATGTTAGGTTTATGTGAAAGCTTGCCAACTTCCTTAGAAACTATAATATTAGGCGTAATAATTCCCCTTGCTTGTGCCGAAATCTTCTTGGGCAAGAAAAAGTGACCTGGTTAAGATGGAAAAACATCTCGGGTGTGTTAGTATACACTGCTAAACAATCTTTCGTTATTAAATAGCATATATATTTTTTTTAATTTCAGTAATTATTAATAACAGACTGCGGCCAAAATATTTTCACTTGTGCTTAGCCATGTCTACGTAAGCCTACGGTGTTTACCAGAAAAATCCAATCCGGATATTAATTTCTTTATTTTAATAGGAGCTAATCTTCTCTTTTAAATCCAACATTTTTATGACTGGCTATGTTTATGCACTGAGACCAGGACAATACCTTCTGTTAGAAAGGAAAACCGTTACAATGTTGAATACCATCCTGTTTGTGAAGCATCAATAATTCTAATTAATTTAACCTACCGTAAATACTCGAATAGACGCCAAAGCATCTATTTATTTCGGAGACGTCTTAAACCCGGCGTCTGTTCACGGGGGGGGTGGGGGGGTGGGGGGGTGTGTCACTTAGACCATCACCAGTATCACCAAGACCATCACCAGTATCACCAAGACCATCACCAGTATCACTAAGACCATCACCAGTATGACTAGAACCATCACCAGTAACACTAAGACCATCACCAGTATCACTAAGACCATCACCAGTATCACCAAGACCATCACCAGTATCACCAAGACCATTACCAGTATCACTAAGACCATCACCAGTGTCACTAAGGCCATCACCAGTATCACTAAGACCATCACCAAGATCACCAAGACCATCACCAGGATCACTGAGACCATCACCAGGATCACTAAGACCATCACCAAGATCACCAAGACCATCACCAGTATCACCAAGACCATCACCAGTGTCACTAAGACCATCACCAGTATCACCAAGACCATCACCAGTATCACTAAGACCATCACCAGTATCACTAAGACCATAACCAGTATCACCAAGACCATCACCAGTATCATAAAGACGATCACCAGTTTCACCAAGACCATCACCAGTATCACTAAGACCATCACCAGTATCACTAGAACCATCACCAGTGTCACTAAGACCATCACCAGTATCACTAAGACCATCACCAGTATCACCGAGACCATCACCAGTCTCACAAAGACCATTGCCAGTATCACCAAGACCATCACCAGTATCACCAAGACCATTGCCAGTATCACTAAGCCCATCACCAGTATCACTAAGACCATCGCCAGTATCACTAAGACCATCACCAAGATCACTAAGCCCATCACCAGGATCACTGAGACCATCACCAGTATCACCAAGACCATCACCAGTATCACTGAGACCATCACTTAGACCATCACCAGTGTCACTAAGGCCATCACCAGAATCACTGAGACCATCATCTGTATCACTAAGACCATCACCAGTTTCACCAAGACCATCACCAGTATCACTAAGACCATCACCAGTATCACTAGAACCATCACCAGTGTCACTAAGACCATCACCAGTATCACTATTACCATCACTAGTATCACTAAGACCATTACTAGTATCACTTAGACCATCACCAGTGTCACTAAAACCATCACCAGTATCACTGAGACCATCACCAGTATCACCGAGACCATCACCAGTCTCACAAAGACCATCACCAGTATCACCAAGACCATCACCAGTATCACCAAGACCATTGCCAGTATCACTAAGCCCATCACCAGTATCACTAAGACCATCACCAGTATCACTAAGACCATCACCAAGATCACTAAGCCCATCACCAGGATCACTGAGACCATCACCAGTATCACCAAGACCATCACCAGTATCACTGAGACCATCACTTAGACCATCACCAGTGTCACTAAGGCCATCACCAGAATCACTGAGACCATTATCTGTATCACTAAGACCATCACCAGTTTCACCAAGACCATCACCAGTATCACTAAGACCATCACCAATATCACCAAGACCATCACCAGTCTCACAAAGACCATCACCAGTATCACCAAGACCATCACAAGTATCACCAAGACCATTGCCAGTATCACTAAGACCATCACCAGTATCACCAAGACCATAACCAGTATCACCAAGACCATCACCAGTATCATTAAGACCATCACCAGTATCACTAGAACCATCACCAGTGTCACTAAGACCATCACCAGTATCACTAAGACCATCACTAGTATCACTAAGACCATTACTAGTATCACTTAGACCATCACCAGTGTCACTAAGACCATCACCATTATCACTGAGACCATCACCATTATCACTGAGACCATCACCAGTATCACTAAGACCATCACCATTATCACTGAGACCATCACCAGTATCACTAAGACCATCACCAGTATCACTAGGAACCATCACCAGTATCACTAAGACCATTGCCAGTATCACTAAGACCATCACCAGGATCACTAAGACCATCACCAGTATCACTGAGACCATCACTTAGACCATCACCAGGATCACTAAGACCATCACCATTATCACTGAGACCATCACCAGTGTCACTAAGACCATCACCAGTATCACTAGAACCATCACCAGTATCACAAAGACCATCACCAGTATCACTAAGACCATCACCTGTACCACTAAGACCATCACCAGGATCACTAAGACCATCACCAGTATCACTGAGACCATCACTTAGACCATCACAAGTGTCACTAAGGCCATCACCAGTATCACCAAGACCATCATCTGTACCACTGAGATCATCACCAATGCCACTGAGACCATCACCAGTACCACTGAGACCATCACCAGTGCCACTGAGATCATCACCAGTATCACTAGAACCATCACCAGTATCACTAAGACCATCACCATTGTCACTAAGGCCATCACCAGAATCACTGAGATCATCACCAGTATCACTAGAACCACCACCAGTATCACTAAGACCATCACCAGTGTCACTAAGGCCATCACCAGTATCACCAAGACCATAACCAGTATCACTAAGATCATCACCAGTATCACTAAGACCATCACCAGTATCACTAAGACCATCACCAGTATCACTAGAACCTTCACCAGTATCACAAAGACCATCACCAGTATCACTAAGACCATCACCAGAATCACTGAGATCATCACCAGTATCACTAAGACCATCACCAGGATCACTAAGCCCATCACCGGGATCACTAAGACCATCACCAGGATCACTGAGACCATCACTAAGACCATCACCAGTGTCACTAAGGCCATCACCAGAATCACTGAGATCATCACCAGTATCACTAAGACCATCACCAGTATCACTAAGACCATCACCAGTATCACCAAGACCATCACCAGTATCACCAAGACCATCACCAGTATCACTAAGACCATCACCAGTATGACTAGAACCATCACCAGTAACACTAAGACCATCACCAGTATCACTAAGACCATCACCAGTATCACCAAGACCATCACCAGTATCACCAAGACCATAACCAGTATCACTAAGACCATCACCAGTGTCACTAAGGCCATCACCAGTATCACTAAGACCATCACCAAGATCACCAAGACCATCACCAGGATCACTGAGACCATCACCAGGATCACTAAGACCATCACCAAGATCACCAAGACCATCACCAGTATCACCAAGACCATCACCAGTGTCACTAAGACCATCACCAGTATCACCAAGACCATCTCCAGTATCACTAGAACCATCACTAGTATCACTAAGACCATCACCAGTATCATCAAGACCATCACCAGTGTCACTAAGACCATCACCAGTATCACCAAGACTATCACCAGTCTCACTAAGACCATCACCAGTATCATTAAGACCATCATCAGTATCACAAAGACCATCACCTGTATCACCAAGACCATAACCAGTATCACTAAGATCATCACCAGTATCACTAAGACCATCACCAGCATCACTAGAACCATCACCAGTGTCACTTAGACCATCACCAGTATCACCAAGACCATCACCAGTATCACTAAGACCATCACCAGTATCACTAAGACCATCACCAGTATCACCAAGACCATCACCAGTATCATCAAGACCATCACCAGTATCACCAAGACCATCACCAGTATCACCAAGACCATCACCAGTATCACCAAGACCATCACCAGTATCACTAAGACCATCACCAGTATCACTAAGACCATCACCAAGATCACTAAGCCCATCACCAGGATCACTGAGACCATCACCAGGATCACTGAGACCATCACCAGTATCACCAAGACCATCACCAGTATCACTGAGACCATCACTAAGACCATCACCAGTGTCACTAAGGCCATCACCAGAATCACTGAGACCATCATCTGTATCACTAAGACCATCACCAGTGTCACTAAGGCCATCACCAGTATCACTAAGACCATCACCAGTGTCACTAAGGCCATCACCAGTATCACTAAGACCATCACCAAGATCACCAAGACCATCACCAGGATCACTGAGACCATCACCAGGATCACTAAGACCATCACCAAGATCACCAAGACCATCACCAGTATCACCAAGACCATCACCAGTGTCACTAAGACCATCACCAGTATCACCAAGACCATCACCAGTATCACTAAGACCATCACCAGTATCACTAAGACCATAACCAGTATCACCAAGACCATCACCAGTATCATAAAGACGATCACCAGTTTCACCAAGACCATCACCAGTATCACTAAGACCATCACCAGTATCACTAGAACCATCACCAGTGTCACTAAGACCATCACCAGTATCACCAAGACCATCACCAGTATCACCAAGACCATCACCAGTCTCACAAAGACCATCACCAGTATCATCAAGACTATCACCAGTATCACCAAGACCATTGCCAGTATCACTAAGACCATCACCAGTATCACTAAGACCATCACCAGTATCACTAAGACCATCACCAGTATCACTAAGACCATCACCAAGATCACTAAGCCCATCACCAGGATCACTGAGACCATCACCAGGATCACTGAGACCATCACCAGTATCACCAAGACCATCACCAGTATCACTGAGACCATCACTAAGACCATCACCAGTGTCACTAAGGCCATCACCAGAATCACTGAGACCATCATCTGTATCACTAAGACCATCACCAGTGTCACTAAGGCCATCACCAGTATCACTAAGACCATCACCAGTGTCACTAAGGCCATCACCAGTATCACTAAGACCATCACCAAGATCACCAAGACCATCACCAGGATCACTGAGACCATCACCAGGATCACTAAGACCATCACCAAGATCACCAAGACCATCACCAGTATCACCAAGACCATCACCAGTGTCACTAAGACCATCACCAGTATCACCAAGACCATCACCAGTATCACTAAGACCATCACCAGTATCACTAAGACCATAACCAGTATCACCAAGACCATCACCAGTATCATAAAGACGATCACCAGTTTCACCAAGACCATCACCAGTATCACTAAGACCATCACCAGTATCACTAGAACCATCACCAGTGTCACTAAGACCATCACCAGTATCACTAAGACCATCACCAGTATCACCGAGACCATCACCAGTCTCACAAAGACCATCACCAGTATCACCAAGACCATCACCAGTATCACCAAGACCATTGCCAGTATCACTAAGCCCATCACCAGTATCACTAAGACCATTACCAGTATCACTAAGACCATCACCAAGATCACTAAGCCCATCACCAGGATCACTGAGACCATCACCAGTATCACCAAGACCATCACCAGTATCACTGAGACCATCACTTTGACCATCACCAGTGTCACTAAGGCCATCACCAGAATCACTGAGACCATCATCTGTATCACTAAGACCATCACCAGTTTCACCAAGACCATCACCAGTATCACTAAGACCATCACCAGTATCACTAGAACCATCACCAGTGTCACTAAGACCATCACCAGTATCACTAAGACCATCACCAGTATCACTAAGACCATTACTAGTATCACTTAGACCATCACCAGTGTCACTAAGACCATCACCAGTATCACTGAGACCATCACCAGTATCACCGAGACCATCACCAGTCTCACAAAGACCATCACCAGTATCACCAAGACCATCACCAGTATCACCAAGACCATTGCCAGTATCACTAAGCCCATCACCAGTATCACTAAGACCATCACCAGTATCACTAAGACCATCACCAAGATCACTAAGCCCATCACCAGGATCACTGAGACCATCACCAGTATCACCAAGACCATCACCAGTATCACTGAGACCATCACTTAGACCATCACCAGTGTCACTAAGGCCATCACCAGAATCACTGAGACCATCATCTGTATCACTAAGACCATCACCAGTTTCACCAAGACCATCACCAGTATCACTAAGACCATCACCAATATCACCAAGACCATCACCAGTCTCACAAAGACCATCACCAGTATCACCAAGACCATCACAAGTATCACCAAGACCATTGCCAGTATCACTAAGACCATCACCAGTATCACCAAGACCATAACCAGTATCACCAAGACCATCACCAGTATCATTAAGACCATCACCAGTATCACTAGAACCATCACCAGTATCACTAAGACCATCACCAGTATCACTAAGACCATCACTAGTATCACTAAGACCATTACTAGTATCACTTAGACCATCACCAGTGTCACTAAGACCATCACCATTATCACTGAGACCATCACCATTATCACTGAGACCATCACCAGTATCACTAAGACCATCACCATTATCACTGAGACCATCACCAGTATCACTAAGACCATCACCATTATCACTGAGACCATCACCAGTATCACCAAGACCATCACCAGTATCACTGAGACCATCACTAAGACCATCACCAGTGTCACTAAGGCCATCACCAGAATCACTGAGACCATCATCTGTATCACTAAGACCATCACCAGTGTCACTAAGGCCATCACCAGTATCACTAAGACCATCACCAGTGTCACTAAGGCCATCACCAGTATCACTAAGACCATCACCAAGATCACCAAGACCATCACCAGGATCACTGAGACCATCACCAGGATCACTAAGACCATCACCAAGATCACCAAGACCATCACCAGTATCACCAAGACCATCACCAGTGTCACTAAGACCATCACCAGTATCACCAAGACCATCACCAGTATCACTAAGACCATCACCAGTATCACTAAGACCATAACCAGTATCACCAAGACCATCACCAGTATCATAAAGACGATCACCAGTTTCACCAAGACCATCACCAGTATCACTAAGACCATCACCAGTATCACTAGAACCATCACCAGTGTCACTAAGACCATCACCAGTATCACTAAGACCATCACCAGTATCACCGAGACCATCACCAGTCTCACAAAGACCATCACCAGTATCACCAAGACCATCACCAGTATCACCAAGACCATTGCCAGTATCACTAAGCCCATCACCAGTATCACTAAGACCATTACCAGTATCACTAAGACCATCACCAAGATCACTAAGCCCATCACCAGGATCACTGAGACCATCACCAGTATCACCAAGACCATCACCAGTATCACTGAGACCATCACTTTGACCATCACCAGTGTCACTAAGGCCATCACCAGAATCACTGAGACCATCATCTGTATCACTAAGACCATCACCAGTTTCACCAAGACCATCACCAGTATCACTAAGACCATCACCAGTATCACTAGAACCATCACCAGTGTCACTAAGACCATCACCAGTATCACTAAGACCATCACCAGTATCACTAAGACCATTACTAGTATCACTTAGACCATCACCAGTGTCACTAAGACCATCACCAGTATCACTGAGACCATCACCAGTATCACCGAGACCATCACCAGTCTCACAAAGACCATCACCAGTATCACCAAGACCATCACCAGTATCACCAAGACCATTGCCAGTATCACTAAGCCCATCACCAGTATCACTAAGACCATCACCAGTATCACTAAGACCATCACCAAGATCACTAAGCCCATCACCAGGATCACTGAGACCATCACCAGTATCACCAAGACCATCACCAGTATCACTGAGACCATCACTTAGACCATCACCAGTGTCACTAAGGCCATCACCAGAATCACTGAGACCATCATCTGTATCACTAAGACCATCACCAGTTTCACCAAGACCATCACCAGTATCACTAAGACCATCACCAATATCACCAAGACCATCACCAGTCTCACAAAGACCATCACCAGTATCACCAAGACCATCACAAGTATCACCAAGACCATTGCCAGTATCACTAAGACCATCACCAGTATCACCAAGACCATAACCAGTATCACCAAGACCATCACCAGTATCATTAAGACCATCACCAGTATCACTAGAACCATCACCAGTATCACTAAGACCATCACCAGTATCACTAAGACCATCACTAGTATCACTAAGACCATTACTAGTATCACTTAGACCATCACCAGTGTCACTAAGACCATCACCATTATCACTGAGACCATCACCATTATCACTGAGACCATCACCAGTATCACTAAGACCATCACCATTATCACTGAGACCATCACCAGTATCACTAAGACCATCACCATTATCACTGAGACCATCACCAGTATCACTAAGACCATCACCAGTATCACTAGGAACCATCACCAGTATCACTAAGACCATTGCCAGTATCACTAAGACCATCACCAGGATCACTAAGACCATCACCAGTATCACTGAGACCATCACTTAGACCATCACCAGTATCACTTAGACCATCACCATTATCACTGAGACCATCACCAGTGTCACTAAGACCATCACCAGTATCACTAGAACCATCACCAGTATCACAAAGACCATCACCAGTATCACTAAGACCATCACCTGTACCACTAAGACCATCACCAGTATCATAAAGACCATCACCAGTATCATAAAGACCATCACTTAGACCATCACAAGTGTCACTAAGGCCATCACCAGTATCACAAAGACCATCACCAGTATCACTAAGACCATCACCTGTACCACTAAGACCATCACCAGGATCACTAAGACCATCACCAGTATCACTGAGACCATCACTTAGACCATCACAAGTGTCACTAAGGCCATCACCAGTATCACCAAGACCATCATCTGTACCACTGAGATCATCACCAATGCCACTGAGACCATCACCAGTACCACTGAGACCATCACCAGTGCCACTGAGATCATCACCAGTATCACTAGAACCATCACCAGTATCACTAAGACCATCACCATTGTCACTAAGGCCATCACCAGAATCACTGAGATCATCACCAGTATCACTAGAACCATCACCAGTATCACTAAGACCATCACCAGTGTCACTAAGGCCATCACCAGTATCACCAAGACCATAACCAGTATCACTAAGATCATCACCAGTATCACTAAGACCATCACCAGTATCACTAAGACCATCACCAGTATCACTAGAACCATCACCAGTATCACAAAGACCATCACCAGTATCACTAAGACCATCACCAGAATCACTGAGATCATCACCAGTATCACTAAGACCATCACCAGGATCACTAAGCCCATCACCGGGATCACTAAGACCATCACCAGGATCACTGAGACCATCACTAAGACCATCACCAGTGTCACTAAGGCCATCACCAGAATCACTGAGATCATCACCAGTATCACTAAGACCATCACCAGGATCACTAAGACCATCACCTGTACCACTGAGATCATCACCAGTGCCACTGAGACCATCACCAGTGCCACTGAGATCATCACCAGTATCACTAAGACCACCACTAAGACCATCACTCACTCACTCACTCACTCACTCACTCACTCACTCACTCACCTGAAACACGGCGGTGTCGTATTGCGAAAGGCATTGTTCATTAGAGTATGGGGAACAAGATCTATACCTTTGTTCATAGGCATGACTCCCCATCTGCCTCATCCATGCAGGTGCGTGTTGCAGGGGGCTATAGCGCGTTAAAGGGGGACATGGAGCTGAATAAGACACTTGGGTTACTCATTTTCGGTGAAGAAAGACTTTATGAGATAGTCGGGAAAACCGGTGTTAGAATTTTGCATTATAGCACAGCCAGCATATTGACGGTCGTAAGTGATAACATTAATACATAGGGTAAATCGGCTTTGAGACCTCGTGCCCCCCCGCCCCCCAATTGCTTTTCATAGAAGCGGTCGGCGAGGAGGTTCGGTGACTTGACCGATTGTGTGCCATCGAACCCCGCTCTTGCTTTGATTCATCAGTCAGACCTTCATTTTCAGTAATGCGGCGATAAACAACATTCACTTATTCCCTCACCGCTTGTATAACAAACTCCTCAAAATCGGATCTTTGTCACCGATACCATATCTCTGTCACAGGGCATCTCTATATGAGGTCGGGTCAGTTGAACGTTCTGGACAGCCAATCAGCGTTGATGATTCTAAACTAACTGTTCGAGTGAGCGAACCAGTCTTGCACGCTTATCGGATTTCTGTATCTCGAAAACGATTTTAATCGAGGAGCCCCGAAAGAAAAAAACCCTAACAAAACCGCGTTAATTGCACGTATGTTCACTACACCAGGATTGATTAAATCCGAATTCGATATGGGCACCTTGAAAACAATTTTTCAATCATATCTGTTTTGCAGAAAGAGAAAAAAAATGTTTTAGTGACACCTTTTTAATTTAAGGAGAAAAAAAAGAAATAAAAAAAAGAAGATAAATCTGGTTATTGTTTAGCAAATTTCAACAAGCCTCTGTTAGTGGGTCGGTGTATGACATAGGATTGACCATTCCTAGCAGAAATCGGTTATATATGATTTAATTAATTCAATTTGAAAGATGGTTCTGCTGGCCACTAAGGAGTTCATGGCTTTCAAATCACCACCATGGAAACTAACTGAAGCGTCTGTAAAAGAGTAGCATGCTTCTATAGTTGATGGATCACATGACTGCGAGATAAGTTTACAACTGAGTTTGTTTGTTTGTTGTTTAACGCCGCACTCAGCAATATTCCAGCTATATGACGGCGGTCTGTAAATAATCGAGTCTGGACCAGACAATCCAGTGATTGATATCATGAGCATCGATACAACTGAGTTATCAGGGTACAAATATCAGTTTTGAGTTTTCTTGTTCAACACGACTACGTAGATATAACTAAAGATATTTGAAGTAGCCCTGAAGCCGATTCTACAAACTAGGGACTCGATGTATAGACTTCTTGCTTAGATTTCTCGTTGTGAGTGAGTATGGTTTTACGCCGCTTTTAGCAATATTCCAGCAATATCCCGGCGGGGCACACCTGAAATGGGCTTTACACATTGTACCCATGTGGGAATCGAACCCAGGTCTTCAACGTGACGAGCGAACGCTTTAACCACTTGGCTAGCCAGCCGCCCCTTCTCTTTGTCAACACCAGGACATATTGATGGCCTTGTTAACTTGCTACACTAATATATTTCGTGGTTGCAATATAATTTGATAATTTATGAACTCTATTTCAAAAATAAAATTTCATTCTTTTAAATCATAGAATCGGCTTGACGGCGCGCATTTTGAAACAAGTCATTTGTTTGACTGATACACTGGACCCTCCGCATCGGGTCTTCCTTCCCGTGAAGATTCCGGGGTAGAATAGGTCTTCGGCAACCCATGCTTGCCGTAAAAGGCGACTATGCTTGCCGTAAAAGGTGACTATGCTTGTCGTAAAAGGCGACTAACGGGATCGGGTGGTAAGGCTCGCCGACTTGGTTGATGAATGTCATAAATCCCAATTGCGTGGATTGATGCTCGTGATATTAATCACTGGATTGTCTGGTCCAGACTCGATTATATACAGACCGCCGTCATATAGCTGGAATATTGCTGAGTGCTGCGTTAAACAACAAACCAACCAACCAACCTTCCCGATTCGCTTGCTTACGATTAGTGTCATTCGTGACCAACTCGTAGTATTCCGGGACAAGCCGAATAGCGACTCGTGCCCCTTTCGCGGCTATTTTTGCGACTGGGTTCCGTCTCAGCGCAAACGGGCTTAGTTCAAGGAATCGTCAACTCGTTGAGAAATGAATCACGTTTTATTAAGACATATGGAAATTCAGAAATTATTCCTGAGGGATTCTTTGAACGAAGTACTTGAAGTCATACGAGCATCCTGCTTGGTTTGTCGTATTTCCGCACATAACATTTAGCGAACCCACTTGTGAGAGTACATATTGCAATAGTGGTCTAGTGGTAGAGCGTTGTTGTTACCCTGTCCGGCGCTCAGCATTAAGGGGCTAAAACAAGGACTGGTCGGCTCGGAGTCAGTATACAGCGTCTGAGTGGGGTGTTCATGTTAAACTGGGGTATGGTACCTCAGTTGGCTAGCACTATAAAACAGGCATTCGCAAGGGGACTAGTTCAAGCAGCCCCACACACTAGCACGCACGCACGCACACACGCACACACGCACGTCGATATATAAGTGCAACAATCTCGAACGCGATGTCCAACCTCACCTCACCTCACCTCACCTCACCTCACCTGACCATCTCACCTCACCTCAACTCACCCCACCTCACATCACCCCACCTCACCTCACCTCACCTCACCTCACCTCACCTCACATTTGCTTTGAGCCGCATCAGCTGTTGCAGCTATTTGTGACGCAAACCCACCGAAATAGAATTTTGCGCATGTGCGTCGAAAGAGGAAATGAGATGGACAGTAGAAACAAAGGTCACAGGCACCATTGTACCCTGGGTAGTCGGTCCGAGTAAACAATATATTATAACTCGATGACCTATAAACTGAAAAGTGCTGACACAGACACGACATGACGAAAAACATTTTTCCTCAACACCTTTTGATCTCCTTAGGGGTATTTAGGCCACGTGTTACTTCAGGTCTTCCAACCTTTGAGTACATCTCGATGGCTATCTTTAATCTGAAAAGTGCTGACCCAAAGATATCCTTTTCATCGACCCGTTTAAAGTCTATTTCACAGAATATCTAAACATGGTCGGCTCGGAGTCTGTGACGAAAAACATTTTTCCTCAACACCTTTTAATTCCCTGGGGAGTATTTAGGCCACGTGTTACTTCAGGTCTTCAAATCTTTAAGTACATCTCGATGGCTATCTTTAATCTTAAAAGTGCTGACACAAAGATACCCTTGTCATCAACTCGTTTAATGTCGTCCACAGAATATCTAATCATGAGATGTAATTTCCTTCTATTCGGGAATCTTCGGCGTGACGAGCTAGCGCTTTAACCACGAGGCTACCCGACCTCCCCTGCAGATTTAACACAGATAAAATGACAGGGCGGCAGTCAGTTTGTATAGGGTTCATTCACTGGCGTTGTGCCATGTATGTAAAGATAAGAACAATGTAAACATGACACAGTGTCGAAAACCTTCCTGGTTCAGGATAGACTTGGAAGGTCTGTTACGTAAGAATATATATTTCAGGGGAGATAACCCCTTACACTACATTACTAACATCCTGACCAAACCAAACGAAGCGGATAAAATCACATGGATGTCAGATTTCGGATGGGGATGATTTCTTTCTGGGAGAATCTGTGGGTCGGAGAGATAAGGGGACGCCGTGTTGTTCGGAGCGAGTGAGTATCTTGGGTTTAACGCCACATTGTATTATATCACGGCATGTCAGCTCAATTTGAAGGGGCCGGTCGGGTAACCTAGTGGTTAGAGCATTCGCTCGTCACGCCGAAGGCCTGGGTTCGATTCCCGACATGGGCACAATGTGTGAAGCCCATTTCTGGTGTCCCCCGCCGTGAAATTGCTGGAATATTGCTAAAACGGCGTAAAACCATACTCACTCTATGTTGAAGGGGGCAAGAGGGGCATTTTGTCGACACCTATCTGGTTGTAGTCTTAGTGAAGAGGGCGGTTGTAGTCTTAGTGAAGTAGGCGGTTGAAGTCTTAGTGAAGGTGGCGGTTGTAGTCTTAGTGAAGGTGGCGGTTGAAGTCTTAGTGAAGGTGGCGGTTGTAGTCTTAGTGAAGATGGCGGTTGTAGTCTTAGTGAAGGTGGCGGTTGAAGTCTTAGTGAAGGTGGCGGTTGAAGTCTTAGTGAAAGTGGCGGTTGTAGCCTTAGTGAAGGTGGCGGTTGTAGTCTTAGTGAAGGTGGCGGTTGTAGTATTAGTGAAGGTGGCGGTTGTAGTCTTAGTGAAGGTGGCGGTTGTAGTCTTAGTGAAGGTGGCGGTTGAAGTCTTAGTGAAGGTGGCGGTTGTAGACGTGGTGGTGGTGGTGGTTGTAGTCATGATGGTGGTTGTAGACGTGGTGGTGATGGTGGTGGTTGTAGACATGGTGGTGATGATGGTGGTTGTAGTCATGGTTGTGGTGGTGGTGGTGGTGGTTGTAGACGTGGTGGTGGTGGTTGTAGTGATTGTGGCTGTAGACATTTAAGTGGTGGTGGTTGTAGTCATGGTGGTGATGGTGGTGTTTGTAGTCATGGTGGTGATGGTGGTGTTTGTAGTCATGGTGGTGATGGTGGTGGTTGTAGACATGGTGGTGGTTGTAGTCATGGTGGTGATGGTGGTGTTTGTAGTCATGGTGGTGGTTGTAGACATGGTGGTGATGGTGGTGGTTGTAGTCATGGTGGTGATGGTGGTGGTTGTAGGCATGGTGGTGATGGTGGTGGTTGTAGACATGGTGGTGATGGTGGTGGTTGTAGTCATGGTGGTGATGGTGGTGGTTGTAGACATGGTGGTGATGGTGGTGTTTGTAGTCATGGTGGTGATGGTGGTGGTTGTAGTCATGGTGGTGATGGTGGTGGTTGTAGTCATGGTTGTGATGGTGGTGGTTGTAGACATGGTGGTGGTTGTAGTCATGGTGGTGATGGTGGTGGTTGTAGACATGGTGGTGGTTGTAGACATGGTGGTGGTTGTAGTCATGGTGGTGATGGTGGTGGTTGTAGACATGGTGGTGATGGTAGTGGTTGTAGACATGGTGGTGATGGTGGTGGTTGTAGACATGGTGGTGATGGTGGTGGTTGTAGACATGGTGGTGATGGTGGTGGTTGTAGTCATGGTGGTGATGGTGGTGTTTGTAGTCATGGTTGTGATGGTGGTGGTTGTAGACATGGTGGTGATGGTAGTGGTTGTAGTCATGGTGGTGATGGTGGTGTTTGTAGTCATGGTGGTGATGGTGGTGGTTGTAGACATGGTGGTGGTGGTGGTGGTTGTAGACATGGTGGTGATGGTGGTGTTTGTAGTCATGGTGGTGATGGTGGTGGTTGTAGACATGGTGGTGATGGTAGTGGTTGTAGTCATGGTGGTGATGGTGGTGTTTGTAGTCATGGTGGTGATGGTGGTGGTTGTAGACATGGTGGTGGTGGTGGTGGTTGTAGACATGGTGGTGATGGTGGTGGTTGTAGTCATGGTGGTGATGGTGGTGGTTGTAGACATGGTGGTGGTGGTGGTGATTGTAGACATGGTGGTGATGGTGGTGGTTGTAGTCATGGTGGTGATGGTGGTGGTTGTAGACATGGTGGTGATGATGTCGGTTGTAGACATGGTGGTGATGATGTCGGTTGTAGACATGGTGGTGGTTGTAGTCATGGTGGTGATGGTGGTGGTTGTAGACATGGTGGTGATGATGTCGGTTGTAGACATGGTGGTGGTTGTAGTCATGGTGGTGATGATGTCGGTTGTAGACATGGTGGTGATGATGTCGGTTGTAGACATGGTGGTGGTTGTAGTCATGGTGGTGATGGTGGTGGTTGTAGTCATGGTGGTGATGGTGGTGGTTGTAGTCATGGTGGTGATGGTGGTGTTTGTAGACATGGTGGTGATGGTGGTGGTTGTAGACATGGTGGTGATGGTGGTGGTTGTAGACATGGTGGTGATGGTTGTGGTTGTAGACATGGTGGTGATGATGTCGGTTGTAGACATGGTGGTGGTTGTAGTCATGGTGGTGATGGTGGTGGTTGTAGACATGGTGGTGATGGTGGTGGTTGTAGACATGGTGGTGATGGTGGTGGTTGTAGACATGGTGGTGATGTGTGGTTGTAGACATGGTGGTGATGGTGGTGGTTGTAGACATGGTGGTGATGGTGGTGGTTGTAGTCATGGTGGTGATGGTGGTGGTTGTAGTCATGGTGGTGATGGTGGTGGTTGTAGACATGGTGGTGATGATGTCGGTTGTAGACATGGTGGTGATGGTGGTGGTTGTAGTCATGGTGGTGATGGTGGTGGTTGTAGACATGGTGGTGATGGTGGTGGTTGTAGTCATGGTGGTGATGGTGGTGGTTGTAGACATGGTGGTGATGGTGGTGGTTGTAGTCATGGTGGTGATGGTGGTGGTTGTAGTCATGGTGGTGATGGTGGTGGTTGTAGACATGGTGGTGATGATGTCGGTTGTAGACATGGTGGTGATGGTGGTGGTTGTAGACATGGTGGTGATGGTGGTGGTTGTAGACATGGTGGTGATGGTGGTGGTTGTAGTCATGGTGGTGATGGTGGTGGTTGTAGTCATGGTGGTGATGGTGGTGGTTGTAGACATGGTGGTGATGATGTCGGTTGTAGACATGGTGGTGATGGTGGTGGTTGTAGACATGGTGGTGATGGTGGTGGTTGTAGACATGGTGGTGATGGTGGTGGTTGTAGACATGGTGGTGATGATGTCGGTTGTAGTCATGGTGGTGATGGTGGTGGTTGTAGTCATGGTGGTGATGGTGGTGGTTGTAGACATGGTGGTGATGGTTGTGGTTGTAGACATGGTGGTGATGGTGGTGGTTGTAGACATGGTGGTGATGGTGGTGGTTGTAGACATGGTGGTGATGATGTCGGTTGTAGACATGGTGGTGATGATGTCGGTTGTAGACACGGTGGTGATGATGTCGGTTGTAGACATGGTGGTGATGGTGGTGGTTGTAGACATGGTGGTGATGGTGGTGGTTGTAGACATGGTGGTGATGGTTGTGGTTGTAGACATGGTGGTGATGGTGGTGGTTGTAGTCATGGTGGTGATGGTGGTGGTTGTAGTCATGGTGGTGATGATGTCGGTTGTAGACATGGTGGTGATGGTGGTGTTTGTAGACATGGTGGTGATGGTGATGGTTGCAGACATGGTAGTGATGATGTCGGTTGTAGTCATGGTTGTGATGGTGGTGGTGTTTGTAGTCATGGTGGTGATGATGTCGGTTGTAGACATGGTGGTGATGGTGGTGTTTGTAGACATGGTGGTGATGGTGATGGTTGTAGTCATGGTGGTGATGATGTCGGTTGTAGTCATGGTGGTGATGGTGGTGTTTGTAGTCATGGTGGTGATGGTGGTAGTAGTCATGGTGGTTGTAGTCATGGTGGTGGTTGTGGTCATGGTGGTGGTGGTGGTGGTTGTAGTCATGGTGGAGGTGGTGGTGGTTGTCGTCATGGTGGTGGTTGTAGTCATGATGGTGGTGGTGGTGGTTGTCGTCATGGTGGTGGTTGTAGTCATGGTGATGGTGATGGTGGTGGTTGTAGTCATGGTGGTGGTGGTGTTTGTAGTCATGGTGGTGGTGGTGGTTGTAGTCATGGTGGTGGTTGTAGTCATGGTGGTGGTTGTAGACGTGGTGGTGGTGGTGGCGGTTGTAGTCATGGTGGTTGTAGTCATAGTGGTGGTTGTAGTCATGGTGGTGGTTTTAGTCATGGTGGTGGTGTGTGGTTGTAGTCATGGTGGTGGTTTTAGTCATGGTGGTGGTTTTAGTCATCGTGGTGGTGGTGGTTGCGGTTGTAGTCATGGTGGTGGTTGTAGTCATGGTGGTGGTTGTGGTCATGGTGGTGGTGGTGGTGGTTGTAGTCATGGTGGAGGTGGTGGTGGTTGTCGTCATGGTGGTGGTTGTAGTCATGGTGATGGTGATGGTGGTGGTTGTAGTCATGGTGGTGGTGGTGTTTGTAGGCATGGTGGTGGTGGTGGTGGTGTTTGTAGTCATGGTGGTGATGATGTCGGTTGTATTCATGGTGGTGATGGTGGTGTTTGTAGTCATGGTGGTGATGGTGGTAGTAGTCATGGTGGTTGTAGTCATGGTGGTGGTTGTGGTCATGGTGGTGGTGGTGGTGGTTGTAGTCATGGTGGAGGTGGTGGTGGTTGTCGTCATGGTGGTGGTTGTAGTCATGATGGTGGTGGTGGTGGTTGTCGTCATGGTGGTGGTTGTAGTCATGGTGATGGTGATGGTGGTGGTTGTAGTCATGGTGGTGGTGGTGTTTGTAGTCATGGTGGTGGTGGTGGTTGTAGTCATGGTGGTGGTTGTAGTCATGGTGGTGGTTGTAGACGTGGTGGTGGTGGTGGCGGTTGTAGTCATGGTGGTTGTAGTCATAGTGGTGGTTGTAGTCATGGTGATGGTTTTAGTCATGGTGGTGGTTTGTGGTTGTAGCCATGGTGGTGGTTTTAGTCATGGTGGTGGTTTTAGTCATGGTGGTGGTGGTGGTTGCGGTTGTAGTCATAGTGGTGGTTGTAGTCATGGTGGTGGTTTTAGTCATGGTGGTGGTGTGTGGTTGTAGTCATGGTGGTGGTTGTCGTCATGGTGGTGGTTTTAGTCATGGTGGTGGTGGTGGTTGCGGTTGTAGTCATGGTGGTGGTTTTAGTCATGGTGGTGGTTTTAGTCATGGTGGTGGTGGTGGTTGCGGTTGTAGTCATGGTGGTGGTTGTAGTCATGGTGGTGGTTGTGGTCATGGTGGTGGTGGTGGTGGTTGTAGTCATGGTGGAGGTGGTGGTGGTTGTCGTCATGGTGGTGGTTGTAGTCATGGTGATGGTGATGGTGGTGGTTGTAGTCATGGTGGTGGTGGTGTTTGTAGGCATGGTGGTGGTGGTGGTGGTGTTTGTAGTCATGGTGGTGATGATGTCGGTTGTAGTCATGGTGGTGATGGTGGTGTTTGTAGTCATGGTGGTGATGGTGGTAGTAGTCATGGTGGTTGTAGTCATGGTGGTGGTTGTGGTCATGGTGGTGGTGGTGGTGGTTGTAGTCATGGTGGAGGTGGTGGTGGTTGTCGTCATGGTGGTGGTTGTAGTCATGATGGTGGTGGTGGTGGTTGTCGTCATGGTGGTGGTTGTAGTCATGGTGATGGTGATGGTGGTGGTTGTAGTCATGGTGGTGGTGGTGTTTGTAGTCATGGTGGTGGTGGTGGTTGTAGTCATGGTGGTGGTTGTAGTCATGGTGGTGGTTGTAGACGTGGTGGTGGTGGTGGCTGTTGTAGTCATGGTGGTTGTAGTCATAGTGGTGGTTGTAGTCATGGTGATGGTTTTAGTCATGGTGGTGGTGTGTGGTTGTAGCCATGGTGGTGGTTTTAGTCATGGTGGTGGTTTTAGTCATGGTGGTGGTGGTGGTTGCGGTTGTAGTCATAGTGGTGGTTGTAGTCATGGTGGTGGTTTTAGTCATGGTGGTGGTGTGTGGTTGTAGTCATGGTGGTGGTTTTAGTCATGGTGGTGGTTTTAGTCATGGTGGTGGTGGTGGTTGCGGTTGTAGTCATGGTGGTGGTTGTAGTCATGGTGGTGGTTGTGGTCATGGTGGTGGTGGTGGTGGTTGTAGTCATGGTGGAGGTGGTGGTGGTTGTCGTCATGGTGGTGGTTGTAGTCATGGTGATGGTGATGGTGGTGGTTGTAGTCATGGTGGTGGTGGTGTTTGTAGGCATGGTGGTGGTGGTGGTGGTGTTTGTAGTCATGGTGGTGATGATGTCGGTTGTAGTCATGGTGGTGATGGTGGTGTTTGTAGTCATGGTGGTGATGGTGGTAGTAGTCATGGTGGTTGTAGTCATGGTGGTGGTTGTGGTCATGGTGGTGGTGGTGGTGGTTGTAGTCATGGTGGAGGTGGTGGTGGTTGTCGTCATGGTGGTGGTTGTAGTCATGATGGTGGTGGTGGTGGTTGTCGTCATGGTGGTGGTTGTAGTCATGGTGATGGTGATGGTGGTGGTTGTAGTCATGGTGGTGGTGGTGTTTGTAGTCATGGTGGTGGTGGTGGTTGTAGTCATGGTGGTGGTTGTAGTCATGGTGGTGGTTGTAGACGTGGTGGTGGTGGTGGCGGTTGTAGTCATGGTGGTTGTAGTCATAGTGGTGGTTGTAGTCATGGTGATGGTTTTAGTCATGGTGGTGGTGTGTGGTTGTAGCCATGGTGGTGGTTTTAGTCATGGTGGTGGTTTTAGTCATGGTGGTGGTGGTGGTTGCGGTTGTAGTCATAGTGGTGGTTGTAGTCATGGTGGTGGTGGTGGTTGTAGTCATGGTGGTGGTTGTAGTCATAGTGGTGGTTGTAGTCATGGTGGTGGTTGTAGTCATGGTGGTGGTTGTAGTCATGATGATGGTTGTAGGCATGGTGGTGGTGGTGGTGGTGGTTGTAGTCATGGTGGTGGTGGTGGTTGTAGTCATGGTGGTGATGGTAGTGGTTGTAGACATGGTGGTGGTGGTGGTGGTTGTAGACATGGTGGTGGTGGTACTGGTTGTAGTCATGGTGGTGGTGGTGGAGGTGGTTGTAGACATGGTGGTGATGGTGGTTGTAGACGTGGTAGTGGTGGTGGTGGTGGTTGTAGACATGGTGGTGATGTGTGGTTGTAGTGATTGTGGCTGTAGACAATTTGGTGGTGGTGGTTGTAGTCATGGTGGTGGTGGTTGTAGTCATGGTGGTGGTTGTGGTTGTAGTCATGGTGGTGGTGGTTGTAGTGATGGTGCTGGTTGTAGTGGTAGTCATGGTGCTTGTGGTTGTAGTAATGGTGGATGTGGTGGTGGTGGTTGTAGACGTGGTGGTTGTGATGGTTGTAGTCATTGTGTTGATGGTGCTGGTTGTAGTGGTAGTCATGGTGGTGGTGGTGGTTGTAAACGATGATGGTTACGATGGTGGTGCTTGCAGTCGTTGATGGTTGTCATGGTGGAGGTTGTAGTTGTAGATTTGGTGGAGGTTGTAGTCGTGGAGTGAGTGAGTGAGTGAGTGGGTGAGTATGTATGGTATTTAGCAATATTCCAGAATATAACGACAGGGATACCAGAGTGAGTGAGTGAGTGAGTGGGTTGTTTGAGTGATGTCTTGTAACGCAATTAAGAGATAAGAAAAAAACAGCTATTGAAATAGAGTGCACCCATATGGGGAATCGAACCCGGGAATCGAAGAACGAGGGCTTTATCCACTAGGCTACCCCAAGGCCTCAATGGTTGTGGAGGCGGCTGCAGTCGCATTAATGGTTGTAGTGGTCGAGTCGTAATGATGGTGGCGGTTGTATTCGAAGTGATGGTGGCGGTTGTATTCGAAGTGATGGTGGCGGTTGTATTCGAAGTGATGGGGGCGGTTGTATTCGAAGTGATGGGGGCGGTTGTATTCGAAGTGATGGGGGCGGTTTTATTCGAAGTGATGGGGGCGGTTGTATTCGAAGTGATGGGGGCGGTTGTTTTCGAAGTGATGGGGGCGGTCGTATTCGAAGTGATGGGGGCGGTTGTATTCGAAGTGATGGGGGCGGTTGTATTCGAAGTGATGGGGGCGGTTGTATTCGAAGTGATGGGGGCGGTTGTATTCGAAGTGATGGCGGCGGTGGTATTCGAAGTGATGGGGGCGGTTGTATTCGAAGTGATGGGGGCGGTTGTATTCGAAGTGATGGGGGCGGTTGTATTCGAAGTGATGGGGGCGGTTGTATTCGAAGTGATGGGGGCGGTTGTATTCGAAGTGATGGGGGCGGTTGTAGCAGAAGGGAATAGTGTTGTGGTTGTAGTCGTAGGGAAGATTTTTGTAGTCGTGGTGATGTAGTGGTTGTAGTCGTAGTGATGTAGTGGTTGTAGTCGTAGTAATGGTGGTGGTGGTGGTTGTAGTCATTGTAATGGTGGAGGTTGTAGTGATGGTGGCGGAAATTCAAGAGAGGGTACATCGTGTAAGGGGTGGGACATCGGGGTAGCCTGGTTAACGCGTTCGCTCGTCACGCCTAAGAACCGGGGTCGATTCCTCACATGGGTACAATGTGTGAAGTCCATTTCTGTTCTCCCCTACCGTGATATTGCCGGAATATTGCTAAAAGCGGCGTACAACTCACTCACTGAAAGAGGTCACACGAAGACAAACTTTTATCAGTATAAGATATCAGTATAAGAAAGGACACACCCATGTTTGATGATGGCTAAAAATGAAACAAACAAGCAATGTTTTTCGCAATTTCGGCGACTGTTTTCAGCCTAGTACAGTTTAGATAATGTTTGTAATGTTTGTGTCAAATCCAATGTTCAAGTGGATACTTTCCTTTCTCTGCCAGCCGCAGTTTAGAATGGGTTGAAATTAAGTTGATTACTAAACAGAATTGACTCGCTATATTATCTGTTATCACGAATTTGGCTGATCTTCCTAGCAACTATATACCCGTGAAGATCCGGGGAAGAATAGGTCTTCAGCAACCCAAGCTTGCCGTAAAAGGTGACTATACTTGTCGTAAGAGGCGACTAACGGGATCGGGTGGTCAGGCTCGCTGACTTGGTTGATGCATGTCATCGTATCCCAGTTGTGTAGATCGAAGCTCATGATGTCAATCACTGGTTTGTCTGGTTCAGACTCGATTATTTGCAGACCGATTGAATATTGCTGGAATATCGCTGAGTGCGGCGTTGAACAACAAACAAACAAACAAAATCCTAGCAACTACGAACGCCATGGGCATACAGTGACACAAATATCGTGACCAACTGGCTAATAATATTATTTGTTTTCCTTGGGATCTAGCGTGCACCAGATAAGACAACAATGCATTGTGGTAAATTAACTTCCTGGTGTCGTCAGAGAGGTTGCCAGAAAAATCTTTTCCTAACATGCAACTTGACCTGTATTGTTGCCCGGATCTTCCTGTTTGTTGGGTTTGTTTTTTTCTTGAAATACAATTCCAAAGTTATCCCCTTGCTGTGTGCTAGCGCGCGTTGTGATATTGGAGGTGAATAGGTCCGCGGTTCCCGGCACTTGACGTGAGAGCTGACGAATGAGAATCAATGGTCCCGTTCCACAAAGCGATCTTAGTGCGACGTGTATCGTAATCATTGTTAAATTATTGTAATCACGATCATCTTAACACTAAAATCGCTTTGGAAAAGGTGCCCAGGTGTTTACAATAGGTGATCTGGGTCCAGTTCCGCAAAGCGATACGACTATCTTAAGCCTATTATAAATAATAATAATAATAATAATAATAATAATAATAATAATTATGATTATGATTATGATTATTATTATAATAATAATAATAATAATAATAATAATAATAATAGTGAGTGAGTGAGTGAGTATGGTTTTACGCCGCTTTTAGCAATATTCCAGCAAGATCACGGCGGGGGACACCAGAAATGGGCTTCACACAATGTACCCACGTCGGGAATCGAACCCGGGTCTTCGGCGTCACAAGCGAACGCTTTAACCACTAAGCTAACCGACCGCCCAATATTAATAATAATAATGATGATGATGATGATGATAATAATAATAATAGTAATAGTAAGTAGCAGTAACAGTAGCAGTAGTAGTAGTTGTACTACTACTACTACTACTACTACTACTACTACTACTACTACCAAATACAGCAGGTATCCAGGTACTGGTATCTGCTCAAATACAGTTCTATTTGTTCCCCGACCAGTGGATCAGTTTGCATTCCAGTTATGATTCTCAACTCCCTGGGTAGTATACAACCAAAGCTGCCTACGGGCGCTAGAGGGTTGTTACAGCCACCTCGCATACCGGGTACCCATTCCCTGCCGGGTGAACAGAGGCGCAATGGAAGTCACTTGCCCAGGGAGACAACACACGTTTTGACACTTGTGTTTCGGGATGATCGTAGTTAAGATATGGCACTTACGAGTGAGTGAGTTGGGTTTAACGCCGCTTTTAACAGTATTCCAGTGATATCACGGCGTGTCAGCTTAATGTGGGAGGAAAGCCCGAAGTGATGCAGGTCTAAGACGTTTACCACTTCGGCGAAACCCACGAGCACGGGTATGGTGCTGACAAACCTAGAAACATAATCGGGGCGAACCGGGATTCGAACCCACAATCATAGGTTTCTGGCGTGCCCAAGGGACGCAACTCTGCACAGCGAATCGCGGCGCCTTAGACGACTGGGCCACCCGTACCCCCCTGGCACTTACGATCATCTTAGCAGTGGGGGATCATCTTAGCAGTGGGGGATCATCTTAGCAGTGGGGGATCATCTTAGCAGTGGGGTCGCGATGTGGCAGGGGGCCTAGAGATTACAGGGTCTGGCCTTCATGGGTCACGTTTCACAAAGCGATCTTATTACTGATTATTAAGACTGACCGCCTCCGTGGTCTAGTGGCAGAGCGTCCGCCCGGAGAGCGGAAGATCCGGGGTTCGATCCCCAGCCGCGTCATACCAAAAGACGTTAAAAGATGGTACTTGTTGTTACCCTGTCTGGCGCTCGGCATTAAGGGGCTAAAACAAGGACTGGTCGGCTCGGAGTCAGTATACTGTGTCTGAGTGGGATATTCATGTTAAACTGCGGCATGGTATCTCAGTGGGCCAGCACTATAAATCGGGATCAGTCCGGACTAGTACAAGCAGCCACACACACACACGTGCATTTACGTCGCTATATAAGTG